ATTTTTAGTGTAAGAGGAGCTGTTCTCCCCCCCTCCCCGTGACAAGGGCAAGATTCATAATTTCTGTCAGCGTCTATACCCTCAAATTTGCATTAGCGCGGAGAGTGTCGCCCGGGAGCAAAGCATGTAGTCCTCAGAGTGGGTCATAGCAGCAAGGTTCATTTTCAAATGTTCAAAAATAAATCAGTGTAACTGTGAGCGGCTCTGAATTTAGAGCGTCGCTCCTTTTTTCTGTCTGAATCGACGAGCACTGCTTGACTAACACTCTATGAAGTAAAAAATAATACCGTGCAAGACACATATAACATGACAGCTTGTTTATAGTAATCCTGGTCAACTTTAAAAAGCAAGGGTCAGTTCTGCCTCATAAGGCTGTCCAGTGATAGCTGTTTCCTGCAGGAGCAATGATTAATTTATGAAACGTATGGAGGAAGTGATAAGGGTGGGGATGAAAGCCTTTTGACTTATTAATTATTTGAATTGTATTCAGGTAGAATCCAGATTCAGTGGGGGTTCTCTGCCCGGAAATGAACACAAGGACACCTTGATAGATGGACATTTGGAAATGGTACGCGTAATAGAGGGCTTGGTTCATTTTAGATCTACTAAGCGAAAAGAAGATGCGATAATAAACAGTTTATCTGTATTGATACACCTTCTAAAAGAATAAACCTGCTCCATCGATAGTACCTTTGGCAGCCTGTGAATATTTGACATTTTGCATTGGTGTACCATAATAATTTTCTCCTCATGTTTTTAATGTGGTAAGGGGAAGCTGATAAAATGATCTCTCTCTGGCCCCATGTGTTATTTAGATTACAGCCCTGGGCTATTAAATAGACACAACAATCATTTGCTATATGTTTGTTGTAAATCAAATATGCCCCATAGTCATAAAGATGTATTAATGGTTGTTGATTAATGCCTACCTCTTGTGTACCGTTAGGGCTCTGATAAACTAATTCAAATAAGGATGTGAAGTGCTCAGAATGATCGCCTAGCAGTCATTAAATTTAGAAGCAGCATGGTGAAAATAACACACCTGACCTTGACAGGGTTCTCCACTGTGGAGATTTGAATGGAAGTGTAGTTTCTGGACTGCAGGAAAATGTTGGATTTGAATACACAGATGATCAAAACAACCACCCTTGTTTGCTGTTATGTGAACCACCACTGGAGTGTCTGTGTTCCAGGAAAGCTCAGCGGTCTCCAGAGACATACTGTGGTCCTGCAGGAAACTGACCTTGCTTTCAATCAGGCGGGGGATAAAAGGCTGTCGGTGCAGGAGGATGTAAAGAGGAGAGAAAAGGAGGTGTGGTGTGGAGCAGTTTCGCCAATTAGCATTTTCTCAATGCACGCATGCTTTAATCCTGCTGTTCTCAACAGCTCTGAGAACTACTGAGGTCAGAATAACTCTCAGCCCGGCATTCAATGTCACTGACATACTACATGCTTAAATTACACAATAACAAAGGCTCACCAGGCTGGAGATAATTTGGTATAGTAAATACAAACTCTGTGTATTTGTGAGGTTAGTGAAGGCTGCGCCTGCAGTATCCTCCTGCTGCTTTACTGGCTATTTCATTTGAGCTTTGGGGTTATTTTCAATTGCATCACAGCTTGTTAAAGCCTAATTGTCAACCTTTACAATAGTTGTGATTTCTTTAGAGTCGCCATACTAATCTACCTTTTATCCCAGAGTGGCTGTTTTTTTTTTTTTGTTTTTTTTAAAACTCAACAGTAATTGCTGCTGTTTGTGTAAGTAAGACAAGAGATGTTTGCCTCTGCATCACTATTTCTGCTTCTGTTCAGAAATGCTGCCAAAGCAGAAAGAGTCTAAAATGCCTTGCTTACCAGGGAATCATTACTGTTTCTCCTGTGATCTCAGTTTAATGCGCTGACCTTGAAAATCATGTAGCAATGTGGGGGGATGGTTCAGATTTGGTGCTTTAAGAATGTTGAATAGTAGATAGCACTCAATTGTTATTGTTTCCCATTTGCATAATTACTTTAAGTGTTTATACTGTATACTGCAAGATCTTGGGCTTTTTTTTGTTTGGGGAACATGGCATGTATTTGCAGAATATAAAGCATGATTTAATAGACATCAGAAACCTGGCATCTGATGCAAATTGCAGGGGACAGTCTTGTGCAGTATATGGCTGACACATACAGTGCAGTAATTGCCATGTGATTGTTGCATTGAACATCTTCAAAGCGGCTGTAAAGAGTGTGGGTGCTCTTCACAGTTGGAAATCATGGCCATGTAGCCCAGGCGTATTTCTTTCAGAACAGCTGATCCTGGCTTTTGTTGTTCTCTGCCTTCTCTACATTCTTGTCCCTACACAGCATGAGAAACACACAGGCATTTACTCTGGTATTGATCAAATAAAAAAAAAAAACACACATTTGAGGAACCCTTGTACAGCATTGTTGCATGGTGGCCTTGGAAGACTGTTTTTCATTCTCATCCACACCCTGTGAGCTCTCAAGGACCATTCAGCTTCAGATTTGTTCTTCTGTGAGAAGGATTTTCAGACACTGGTCCAAACAAACTGATCAGGCGTGCACCAACACTTGTTTAGGTTTCCTGTCCAGTCGTCTCCATACTTATGTGACAGACTGGTGCATTAATCGCAGCAGGGCTCTGTGCTGCTGCTGGTATTACGGTCAATCATTAGAGTTGCATCCTCTCCAGATGGCACCTGCCGTCCCTGGCCTCGATTGAATTGTCCATGTTTAGACTCCCCAGCAAGCTGCTCTTTGGCCATTTTCATGTCTTAATATTTAGTAGTAAACAAACCTAATTCAATACAGGGTGCTCCCCTGATGGATCAGTGAATGTCATGGGAGTGCTTTGAAATTTAATTTTTTAGATCTACCTAGTGATGTAGGAAAGGTAATAAAATAAAGAAGATCCAACAGAGACTCGCATAAGTGAGTTGTTTCTCATTGCTCCTCTCTCAGACGTAGATCCACCCATGCCTGAAAGCAGAGCTAATGAGGAGCTGGCTTCACTGGAGTGTTTGCACGAGGATACTAGTGAAAAAATGTGCTCTCACACTACTGTAAGCTCAGGGATTATCATTATCCTCCTGGGTTTCATCATGTGGTTTCTGTAGAACTGTGAAGCGAGCGATGCTACTCACAACAGATACTAAAGCGACTGTTGCTTTAGGAGTAGACCTACAATCATCTATAGCAAATACCTGCTGTCAGAGGTATCTGGATGGATGGACCCGTCTGAAACGTCCCTGTGAAACTTCCACAAAAGTGCAAACATTTTATCTGCACAATCCGTATATTTGGTGAGTCTACATTGTGAGCCCACATACGTGCCAATGTGGCCTGCTGTGTTTGTCAGTCTGGGGTCTCAAGCTGCTTGTCTAGAAGCGAGTATCTGTGGAAAGAGCTGGATGACAAAAACTCGGTGGGGCTTCTCCACCAGCCTGTACAGAGTAGAGCTCATGCGGCGCCATTACCCCTTCTTCTTTGTGCTTGTCTTTCCCTCTTTGTGTGAAGAAATACTCAGGGAAGGAGAGGGTCTATTGGAGAGGAACCCATGTCCATGACAGAGCCACAGTCACAGGCGGCCTCATTCAGAACTCGATCATTATAGAAAATTTACTTCTCAGACTTCCTCTGCTCTGGCTCAAAAGGGATCTGTGGACGAGCTGCGAATCCTGGGCACAGAATAACTCTTTGTTTCCCAGTGCGGCTGCCATCTGAATTGTGTCAGTGTGAAGATTTGAACTTTTGCCTTTATGTCCAACTATGGAGAAAAATCTAAAATTCTTTTGGTGTTACAGTTGAATTTAGAGTAAAGTACAGTTGAAACAATTAGTGAGTTAATCGAATGGCCAGTCACCAGAAAATTATTTGGCAACTATTTTATTTCAGTCCATTGTTTTCAGTTCAAGTAAAAATGCCAAAAGCGATTTGAACATGCCGAATTTGGCTTTGGAAATTTTTTCATAATATGCTGGTGTTTTATGGATCAAATGATTAATCGATTAATAGGAAAGATAATGAACAAATTAATTTGATAATGAAAACTATTCTTAGTTGCAGCCCTGGTGTATAGTTACATCAATATTTGGGAACTTGAATCTATGCTGATATACCCGTCTTCTCTGGAAGAGATGAGTTGGCTTTGGAGGCGTCACAGACTAATCTTTGTTCACAAAAAAAAGTAAGACTGAGATTTTAGATGTATAATGTAAATAAGAGGCAGAGAGCCTCCCTGGTGTAGATGGCCCTATTTATCACATCCATCCCTCTCCCTGTTCAAGCCAAGGTCAAGGAAGAGGAGAAACACACTGCAGTATCAGACTCTTTCCTTTTTTTTTCTTTTTTTCTTTTTTTTGCGCATATGAGTCTCAGAATACCTGAATTGATTCACCCTAATTGCAGTATGTGATAAAACACCCACTGATTTGTCTCACGGTGAAGCCTGCTGCTGGTGGAGAGTGCAAGCCAGAGGAAGAGCAGATAATTATGCAGTGGTGGAACGTCATTTTCTGTGTTTTGACTTGGCTCCTGTTATTCCTGCCGATTAGAGAGATTTGCGGTCTCTTTTTTTTAAAATTTTTTTTTTTATTCCTTTTTCCGCTGAAAGATTATGTCGCTTGTCTTGGTTCAACTAATTCTACACACACTGCAATCAGGCAGAGGCTCTCCATACACGTAACCCTTTGATATCAGAACAGCGGGGAAGAATGAGGAGCTGGGGTGCGGCATAACACACATTCATTTTCACAGGTGAAAATGTCCCCAAGAAGGTAATTGTGATGATTTGCTCTGTGCCTTGCGGTGCTATTTTCTGCCTCTGAGACTTCCTCTTCACACTTTGGAGTATGATTGTTTTATGAGAGGACATTTTAATAATGGCTTGTTGACACCAGCCACAACACAGACAGTCTATTGGAGATATTAGCCAGCAGTATGACTTTACACATTCACTGAACCTCACGTACTGTTTGTGCTTCTGTGTTGTCCAGGTGTGTAGGTTGGTGAGGCCATTATACTACCCACCAAGATGGTGGCCTTGTCACTAAAGATATGTGTACGTCAGTGCAATGTGGTGAAGACGATGCAGTTTGAGCCATCCACGCCTGTGTATGACGCCTGCAGAATCATCAGAGAGAGAGTACCGGAAGCCCAGACAGGACAAGGTTGGTGGATGACTCACAAATGGTAAATCTATAGAAATTTACATAATGGAAATCTATAGGAATCTACATTTGCATACTGTGTTTCCCTTGGTGTTTCAGCCTCAGATTATGGCCTCTTCCTGTCTGACGATGATCCCAGGAAAGGAATCTGGCTCGAGTCTGGAAGAACCCTGGATTACTACATGCTGCGAAATGGAGTAAGATTAAGTCATATAGTCTGGGGTGGAGAACTGTCAGTGTCACTTATCATCTCTTAAAGTGATTTACATTTTCTGGAGGCACCTGAGATATTCATGCCTCCCTGCTCGCAGGGAGCGACTGCAGTTTACTGTCGAGAACGATCAGCACGGTTGTAGATGTCACTGAGCTTCCCCCATTCCTGTTTTCTCAGGACGTCTTGGAGTATAAGAAGAAACAAAGGCCGCAAAAGATCAAAATGCTGGATGGTGCCATTAAAACCATCATGGTGGATGACTCAAAAACAGTCGGGGAGCTGCTCGTCACCATATGCAGTAGAATAGGTAAGTGATAGTCTCCCAGCGCTGCTAGTACGAATCTTGTCAAGCCATCATCCGAGGCTTGAATTATTCATCCTCTATTTTATTTTTAGTCCACAGCATACCGCTTGACTTCACACTGAGTTGCATTATGTTACATCGATACATTCATATTTGAACAGCAGCGTTAGTTAACTACTTTGGAGCGTTCATGTACACTTGATAAAGCCCTGATCACGTTTTTTTTTTTTTTTTTTTTTAAAGCATGATTGGCATCATTCATCAAGCTCAAACAAGCTTGTTTCTAATAAATGCTGAAGTGTTCTTTCTAAGGCTCAGACCGTGCCCTCGCTGCCTGTCACAGAGGGGTTCCCTAAGCTGTGTATTTCAATTATAATGGGCTGCCATCAAGCTCGACTGGATGAGGAGGAGAGGGATGTCTGTCTGGCAGATAGCTTTATTGGAAAATGTTTGTTTGGAGTAGGCCCTTTCTGCTTGGCGTCTTCTCCTCCACAGCTCCCATTTTAGTTTGCTGGCTCTGTACCAGCTTTCCTTCACTTCTGTTTCAAAGCAGAGAGAAAGAGATGAAAAGGGAGCGTACGAGAATTGCTTTCTCTATCGTGGCAGCAGTTATCGCGCCAGCTTGAGGCATCTCCTCCTCCTCCTCCTTCTCCCTGGCTAACTTGTGCCCTTTTCAGGAATCACCAACTATGAGGAGTACTCCCTCATTCAAGAGGTGGCGGAGGACAAGAAGGAGGATGGGATGGGGACGCTGAAGAAAGACAGAACGCTGCTGCTACGAGACGAGAGGAAGATGGAAAAGCTCAAAGCCAAACTCCACACAGATGATGACTGTGAGTGCGAGCGTGCAAAAGCCTCCAGAAGTGTCATTCATATGCTGATGGTTTTAAGGCCGTTTCTTATTTTCACATGAATAAATCTGACTCGATGCCATCATCTGGACATGTGCTTTATCACTCAAGTCTAATTTATTGCATGGACAAATCAAAGTTTAATGAAATTACCACTGTTATCTTTTGCCCAGAGGACACCAATTAAATTTTGAAACATGCGAATATATAAATCACCCTCCTAACTTTGGCCGAAAACTGGATTTCGTCTCAGCAGAAAATAAAGCAAATGACAGTGTTTGTGCCCAGTCAAGATTTTCACTTCTCCGTGATTAATGTGGTAAATTGTCTGTCTAAGCTGATCTGTCTTGCCCATGTGATGCGTTTGAACAGCATGGTTAATTTCACCATCAGTACCCTCCTCTAGTAACATCTTTGTTAAGTGAATGTGTATTCATTTCAGTGCATGTGGTAACAGAGTGTGTGTGTGTGTGTGTGTGTGTGTGTGTGTGTGTGTGTGTGTGTGTGTGTGTGTGTGTGTGTGTGTGTGTGTTTGGTGTGTGTCTGTGTGTATTGATTGGGCAGTGAACTGGCTGGACCACAGCAGAACATTCAGAGAGCAAGGAGTGGAGGAGAGCGAGACTCTGCTGCTCAGGCGCAAGTTCTTCTATTCGGACCAGAATGTGGACTCACGGGACCCTGTCCAGCTAAACCTGCTCTATGTTCAGGTAAACTTGATGCACACACCTTTGGGCTGATAGTAGCAAAAAAAAAAACTGTGGCGAGAGAGAAGGAAGTGAGGGCTACATTTTATTTTTTATTTTTTGCTGAACCGGTAAAAAAAAAAGCCCAAGCAGGCTAGCATATGAATCATACTGCAGTTTTTTGGGGTGTTTTTTAAATGTTTTTCAGAAGAGACAGGAGACATAACAGGAGTGTAATTAGACTCAATAACTATGTTTTACCGTGCATCTAACATTTGGCCAGGTCTGGACAGACTGAAATGTGGTTAGCTCACATGTGGTCCAGACAGGTTTGACTTGTTTCTTGGTTCTACTATACCGTGTCACAACAACATAAATCTTTACATGAGAAGGCAAAGCTTTAGTTCCAGATGTTAAAAAGCTGCATTTGGTCCAGCTGATGAGTACAGCAGAACAATCTGAAAAGAAAACATTGACATATTGTCACCTTATGTAGTTGTTACACATCCAGCAGACGTGGCGTGACATTAGCATACGTTTGGAGTTGTGTTTGTATTCACGGAGCTAAGCCCAATATTCACTCTCCTTTTAGCTCTGTTTTTGTCTCCTCAGAAAAGTATCTGGCTCTTTATAAATTTCCATATATATATATTATAATTTTCCACCAGCTAGTTGCTAACTTTGTTTGTCTTCTGTTTGTTGCTGGCTCAGTTAGCATACAGCAGGTTTACAATGTTTTTTTTTTTTTCATTGAGAGCATCTGCCTGCTGTGGCTTGAAACGAGGCCTGATGAAAGCGGAGCAAGAATACCAAAACAGTAAATTTGCAGACGGTAAAACCAAAACAATGTGCTTAAAGAAGCTAAAATGCTCCATAGAGCTGAGTGGAACTGCAGAGTTGGGTCATAGTTCTCTATGGATTTGTCATTACAAGCAACCCCTTTCACATTACTTACAGTCATTTGATCCATTGTTAATATGAAAATATTCATGAGTGCAGCTTTAAGTTTCTCTGTGATTCCCACCATCACTCCGCTCTTTTTACCATTATACAGCTGTCCATTGCAAGCACATTGTCTTCTCTATACATACATGTAATGAGTGGAACTGTTACTGTGTGTAACCTTGAACTGGCGTGATGTTTTCATGTGTCTATATCCGAGGATAATCTGAGGATGGACACAGCTATAGTGCAGCGCAGACCATGCTATTCTTTGTGGTCTGGAAAGCTCAATAGGAATTTGCTTGAGGCTGACATCACTTCAAGTAGAGCACAATACACGGTTCACAGTCTCCCTTCCGACATCTGATTGAACAAATACACTACTCAGTGGGTTGGCAGTGGTTATTGCTTCTTATTTTTAACTTGGAAAAACATGGCTTCTGTTTTGGAAATGTTAGTTGAGGTAATAACCTATTCAATTGTTTAAACATGTTTCATTCTGTCACCTAAAAATAGAGTTTCCTCCTATATTTCTCTTCAATTCACATTGTTTACACCGAAGGAAATATTAAATTGAATGGCTACCCCATTACCTCAGATGGAAATATTCTGGATGTTTTGTGCATCGTTTTAGAAGCATTTCCCCAAAATTCACCCTGACATATTTGGTCTCCATGGAAACATTAGGATCCTGGCTGCAACTTCAAGTAAGGTTCTGTGGGTTTGAGCAGTGACTGTCTGCACAGCATGACTGACCAGTTAGTGATTTGAGGAGGTTATGTCTGTAATATCGCAGTTGTTCACGAGGTGTAGGAGTTTAGGGTGGCAGTCAGTTACATCACGACCTAAACACTTCCTGTTGTCGGTGGATTTGTGCAACATACATGTGGTAAGACTCCATTGGAGAGAGATGGTTTGGAGTTATGTCTGGATGAGGTGGTGTGTGTTGGTTTCCTTCTCTCTTGCTGTGTCTCTATCCATCTCTGGCAGTTGCTAGTTTTATAAACTGAGGGACTCTGCTGGGGGCGGGGGGGGCGGGGGGGGGGGGGGGGGTGTCAGCTGAGTCCAGTACCACACTAGTTAGGGTTTGCTCACTGCACACATCACTGCATTCACATTAGCCCCTCCAAGAGAGGAGAGGAGAGCTCCCCACTGACACCTGGACTCAAACAGCAGGGTGTGGAGTACCCAAACACACACACACTAACACACACACACACACTCACACACGTACACGTACAGATGTACTCCGTGACATAAACGAAGAGCATTGGAAAGAGAGTATTTTTTTTGGAAACGAATTACACAGAGATTATTGAATATCCTTCCACACAAAAATACAGCTGTGAAAAACTGTGCTCAGAGATATATACCATGTCTGAAATATGTAAAGTCGTTCGTGTTCGACTTTCTCCATCTTCTCAGTCCCTGCTGCCTCCTTCACAAAAGACATCCAGCCATCCACCCTCCTGCTGCTCTCCTCCCTTCTGTCTGTCTGTTCCTGTTTTTGCCTCTATTTTTCTTACCCTCCGTTTCCTTCCCTAGTCTCCACTCCCGCTCCATCTCCTACACATTCTGACATAATCGCACACATCCCCACCCTCTTACCCTGGCACACATTACGGCACAGTGCATATCATGCTCTCCTCTCAACACAGACTCATATTTCCTTTCACAATAACATCCCCGCCCCCTGCCCCCGCCTCTATTTGCCTCTCTGTTGCCCTTCCCTATCTATCTTTCCCTCGTTCTCTCTCGCTCTCTCTCTCTCACACACACACACGCACGCACACAGTCGGATTGTTACACAGGCAGATCACAGAGACTCTTCACATGGCAGTGGCTCTAATTTGTCACCCTGTTAAAAAGGCCAAACAGAGCCAGAAGAGAGATCTCCAGCAGAATGGAACACACCCCGGGCTTCTTCTCCACATTCTTTTCCTTTTCTTTCTTACACCCCCCATTTTCCTCTTTAACGTCTGTCATCATTCACAATTCCTGTGCTTCTCAGAACCTCAGCAGTATAGAGTAATTGAATTCAGATTGTGCCAATGATGACATTACTGCTGGCATTTCTCTGACAGAGCATCCCTTCGAATCTGCAATGATCTCAAATGTTTATTAATCATTTGAAGCTTCCATGATTTCAAACCCGTACGCACGCACGCACACACGCACACACGCACAAACACACACACACACACACACACGCGCGCGCACAGAAACGTAATGGAAACTCTGCCAGTAAGAGACTAATCTCCTTTACTACCCGACCACTCCCTTTCTGTCATGTATTTGTGTTAAGACCGGGATAAACCTCCGTAGCAATAGCATCACTCTGTGTGTCCTGCTCTTTTGCTTTTATTTTTGCTCACTTTTGTTGTTTCTGAAATAAAAGTCTTTGCACCATTAGACAGTGTTGTTTAAAAGCAGGATCAGATGGAGCATTTGTATTTGGAACAGTATCCTTGAAAAAGTGTATTAACTCGAAATTCACCGTAGAATCCTGTCTTTAGTGCTGCTTTGTCAACCAGGGGCCTGCTATCCTACAGAAGGTCATATCGTTTCATCCTGTTGTTCTGTAAGAGTTTGTGATAGCATCTTTGGAGCCTTTGAAGCGTTTTTTACTTTATTGGAAAATGGACATCACAGAGAAATATAGAAAGAAGGGTCAGGTTAGATTTGAACCAAAGCCAGCTGGTGTATCTTACTGTAGCTAACTGAGTCATCATCAAAATCTTTTCAAACATTTAGGATTTGTCCTCACACAAAACTGTGTCACTTAAGTCATGAAGCATTTAGAAAATGCTTTATTCACTTATCTATTAGTAGCTGTCCCGATCAAACACTGCTCTGTGCATTGAGTTGCTTTAGTGTATCCCTACGTCAGCATTTATTTTTATGGCTGTATTATACTCTGTGTCTGCTCTGCTGGGCCGCGGTGGACTTGTTGACCTCAGTGTTGTAGCCCCAGGCTGTATGTGTCACAGCTTCTGATGTCTTGTGCTTCACTTCCACTCATGCAGCTCCATTAAAATGTCCCAGAACCAGTGCCTGTATCACTTGTCGTATCCACAATGAGAAAATCAGGGACTGGCCTCACAGTCTTGTAACGTGGTAACAAGACGGTGACCAAATAGAGACACGTGCCTGTGAATTTACTTCTGAATCTGAGGTTTGCCAATGAAATGACCCAATGACTGATCAATAGTAAACTTTATATACTGTATATTGTAAACAAAGCAATGAGTGTTTTGACATGGGAGCATTTTTCCATGTTTTATCCTTGGTCTTGGATTTGATAGCGTCAGGTTCAGAGCTCATCCTGAATGCTCCTTATGAATCTCACCTTCACTAACCGATTAGCATCGGCTGTTTCATTCACAGCTGACCGCTAACTTCCAATCATGTTCAGGCAGGTGTACATCATGGCCGTTACCAAACCTGACACTTTCTCACTTTATTCTGCTGATACACACTTGACAACACTGTCTGTTGCAGCAGCCCCCCTCACCTCCCCAAGCCTCATCAAAGAGCAGAGCCTTTTCTGCCAAATCTAGCTCTATAACCTTTTGCTAAAAGTGTAAATGAGTTATGGCATTTGCATGGAACACGGCAAAATGGGTCATTTACCTCGTTGTATACATTATTCTAACAGACTAGTATCTAGTTTGCTGATTTCCTGTGTGTGAGTCACTTCTGGATCGACTGAGTTATCTCTCTGGATGCTCCCTGCTGGATATTGACTCCCTCATCTTATCACCAGTAATGGATGATGCAAGCAACACCTATTCAAATGCATCCTACTTTTACTGACAAAGAACTGTGAACTCCAGCTGAGGATGCATCTGCAAAGCCTTGATAACGTGTTTACATCCAACAGTATCTCAGTGTCTATCAGTTTACTCCAGCTGGCACATTTTAGTTTTTCTTTCAAACCGGAATAGTCTTGTCCAGGTTACTGAAACCATAGATGAAACCCTTACATAGCACATAACTAGGAAACCCACACTGGGGGTCTTGCAACCTAAATAATTTTACTAAATAACCAGGGGCCGGCCCACTAGTAAATTTCGTTATACTCTATAACCAAAATGCATCCACCAAACAATACCTATTTGAAAATTTAAACATTTATATCTAGCTGTTCCATCATTCCTCAGCATCTTACTTCAGAATAATACAGAGTAGTAACAGTGTGTAGCGGAGTGAATGGCATGTGTGAGGGCTAATTTTAGAGTGTCTTCTTGTGTTCAGCAAGAGCTTATGTACTCCACTGTGAATTGCACTGGGGAAAGGACTTGATTGTGAGTGGAGGAGATTGTTGTCCTCATTACAGCAGTAAGCCGCTGCTTAGTTTTTCATTGATGTAATGGGACGTAAGAATGAGTCAAGTCCACGCTGTGCACTGATATGCTAATGCTAAAAGCACTGATGGCTCCTTTCTCACTGTCAGCAAGGCCTCTCGGCTTTTGGAGCCATTAATTTTGCAGCAGCACACTAGAAAGAGTGAGTGCAAGTAGACAGAGAGAGAGAGAGAGAGAGTGGCAGAGCTGACTGCCCCTTGGAGAAAACGGCACACACTGACAACCATTTGAAAGATGTCAACAAAGGCTTCTCCCTTTCGATCTACCTAAATGGTGAAGATAATGTAGACAGCCTGGCTGAAAACGCATGGAAGCATTAGTGATATCTCAGCAGCATCAAACACACAAAACATAAGCCCTTCTTTTTTTTTTTTTTGGTCAGTAAGAAAAAAAAACTTTCACTCATTCGCTTTCTTAACAACATATAGAGGGCCATTCTGTAATGCAGATGAGATATTGTGATGGACTGATGCATTTTTCTGTAATGTGTTTTCCTCTTTAATAACACGTAATGGGCTGTGATGACAAATCGTTTGGAACTGTTACGTGTGAAAGCAGGCAGAATGGCTTTTATTGTCGAAAACAAATTTTATTTGGCTCCCCTGTGTGGCAGAGTCTCAGTTATGATGTTCCTGCTCTAGATATACACTTAATCATTCACTTAGAAGACATCTTCTCTGGAGCCACGGCACATTCAAAGCACACAATAAGAGCTCATTACGGAGCTCTGCTGGGTGAATTTTGGATAAATCTCATGCCTTTGTAGTTGTATCCTTTTCCTGGATGTGTGCTTCTTCCTCTCACTTGCTCCCCTCTCCTCCCCTTCTCATTTCCCCCCTCCTCATGTCTCCTCCAGGCTAGGGATGATATATTGAATGGATCCCACCCTGTCTCCTTTGATAAAGCTTGCGAGTTCGCAGGAATCCAGGCTCAGATCCAGTTCGGACCCCACGTGGAGCACAAGCACAAGCCCGGATTCCTGGAGTAAGCTTTTCTCTTCAAAAAGATGCATTAACACCAACATTTACAATAAGTCTGCATGGCGCATTGTGCTTTTACTATGTTCACAGCTGTACGTATGCATTGGTTATCTCCTGCTTCAGTACAGGCTGTTTCTTCAGGGATTTCCTCTAGTGGAAAGCTCAGGGGTGGCGTCAGCTGTTACAACTGTTTTCTGATATGTAGGCAGTAGGGCAGGAATGACCTCATATGTGGAGGTATGTTAATAGAAAAGGAAATGCCTGTAGCTCAAAAGAGTAACCATGTAAAAATGTTATTTATCTCCGTAGCCTGAAGGAGTTCCTACCTAAAGAGTACATCAAGCAGAGAGGGTCCGAGAAGAAAATATTCCAAGTATGTACATTACATTGCCTGAATGTTGCATTTAAGTAAATGTAGTGTTTTTGAAGCTGTGGACGGCCCCGTGGGGAATTGTGGAAATTTGTTCTCTGTTAAGGCACAAATTGGAAAAATACAAAACATGTCGATCACAGCATTTCAAGTATATTAACATTACATATGTAATGACCAGTCTAAGGAGGTGGAGATGTAACCGCTGTCTTTTCACCAGGAACATAAGAACTGCGGAGAGATGACGGAGATTGAGGCAAAAGTGAAGTATGTGAAGCTCGCCAGGTCCCTGCAGACGTACGGAGTGTCCTTCTTCCTGGTGAAAGTAAGAGCTGAGCCCATGCTAATTTACACCAGTGAAATGGTGAATCAGTGAAAGAGAATGTGATCACAGATTTACTGCATACATTAGATTCATAAGCACAGTGGACAATAAGCCCACATTCCCAACAAATGTGGTTTCTGCCCTTAAAGGATAATTACAACTTGGATCTTTTTTTTTTTTCTTTGGGCCATCATTTCTATTAGTTATTGTAGCACACAAACAAAGAAAACACAGAAGAGACACAAGCAGTCAGATGATAATACAGGTTGTAAACAAGCCCCAAGGTAAGCTGACCTTATTTGCGAGAGAAAACAAAGGCGCTTTTTGGTTTACTTCCAAATAAAAGGGGAAAATAATCTTGCTAAATGGTTGGTTTGTTTACAAGTGTGATCTTCTGACTGCTTGTGTCTTGCCACATTTAACTTCGCTGTAGTAATGTTGCCACATTTGTAGATCTCAACAGTTCACTCACAGTACAATGTTACCATAAATGATGTAAATGAGGGACAACACTATGAAAATAAAGCTCTAGTTGTAATAAATTTTCCTTTTATAATTACTGAGCGATATCAGTGTAAATGAAACATCTGGATGCGGAAAGCAGGCACGTAATGCTTCTGCGCCGATGACTGGCAGCTGTGAGAAAGCAGTCCTAATATACACTGCGCAGTCTAACAGGTATGAAAGCTTGTTGAAAACTCCAAAAAACCCCATTATCACAACAAATCAGAAGCTTCAGAGTGCAAGCTTGTGCACTCGCCGTTCAGCAGCACACTCAGTGCTGTGAAATACTTGTGACAATAGCAATTCTGTTCTGTTCTGGTTTGGCGAACACAAAAGTGGAATGGAAGTGCGGCACACGAATGGGATGAAGTCGCACCGGCAGGTATTATAAAAGCTCTCTGACAGCAGCCCAAGCGGGGAGGAAAAAGAGGAAGAGGACTGTTGTCTGCTGGGGTTTTAATGGACGATAAATGGAATATTTGGCCCCACAGTTAAAGCAGACTGCAGGGTTCAGATTATTTCTGTGTGTGTGTGTGTGTGTGAGTGTGAGTGTGAGTGCGCGCGTGCGTGGTCTGCCTCCGATGAGGAGATGTACTGATGGAGATTTCAAGACACTGCTAAATAATTCACTCCAGCTGCACTCCGCTCTCGATGCTAACAGAGGCAAAAGCACAGACCTGGCTTTGTTGAAGCAGATCTGAGAGTTTGTTGTAACCTTCCATTTCTCATCTGACGGTCTTTAATCGCTGCAGGTTCCTGCGTTGGCAAGCTCTCTATAGCTGCAAACTTCACAGAGTTGGAAATATTGTACATGGGAAGAAAATAAGCCTGTAAATATCTGTGTGTGTGACTGCTGTTCTATTGTGATTTGTTGCACAAGCTAATTTCCCCAAACAATAATCAAGGTTAACTATTTAAAATAATATAATACCTCAGCTACACCACTTCAGATTAGAAAATCATGCTTCCTGCTTGAACAGAGCCTAGATACTTATGACATTCAAGTAATGTAACCCTACAACAATGGAAGTTTTTAATAAACCTTTGTGTGAAGATATCTCGAACAGTGGGATAATGTTATCTGTCCTTGTGTTTAAGAGCCCTGACCCTCAAAGCTGTTCTACTTATTGGCCTTTGTTCCATTCTAGGAGCTCTCCATTTTAACCCTGTGATTAAAAAAAACAACAACAACAAAAGCCTGGAAACATAAAACGTATATATTTTTGAACTCCCCGGTCTCTACAGTCTGTTAATTTCTGTGTCGTCTTCTGCAACCCTGGAGGGGAGCCAAGTGTAGGCTCGGTCTCTAAAGTGAGCTGTAATAGATTTTCAGTGGGCAGAGAGTGGAGGGCGCTGGAGCTGGTCAGGCAGAGAGCGCTGGTGGAAGCACCATGCTGGTATGCTGACAGTGACTAAAGCCTGTGGAGACCCTGCTCAATAAAGCAGCAGTTAAACAAGGCTGAACTCTGCTGGGTCACTTCACAGCTGCCCTTCTCCCTCCTCCATTTGGGGCTTCAAGCCACGGACACAGCATGCGTATCGCAAAAGCACAAGCAGAATGGCACAACGATTTTGCATTCGCACCTTGAATGAATCATCTGTGTGGGTGTTTAGCGCCGGCATATATGTTGCCTGATGTTGTCCTGTCTGGCAGGAAAAGATGAAGGGTAAAAATAAGCTGGTGCCGAGGCTGCTGGGGATAACCAAAGAGTCGGTGATGCGAGTGGATGAGAAGACGAAGGATGTGGTGCAGGAGTGGCCTCTGACAACAGTCAAGAGATGGGCTGCCTCCCCCAAGAGCTTCACCCTGGTACTGTTTGACTGTTTGCCTCAAGTCCTCAGCACTACTTAGATAGTCAGATGTTATACCCTCCTAATCCTATGCACATATTCAGTTATTCTATGCGCAGTGTGATTTACACAGCTCTGCATCACATATTCAATCTCTCTCCCACTTTTCATTTTCCAATACAAACAGCATCCGAAAAATTGTTGAGACCTCAGACTCCATTATTGAACGTTTTCAGCATGCTAGCCAGCTATTTCATCTGAGTTAACAATAGATGCCCGGGGAAGAACGTGCAGAATTTGGATGTATTATTTATCTGAAAGCTTTTTCAATTTTCTTTACCAGCTGTTGGCAGTAGCACTGTCTGTTTTCTGCTCGTATTGGAGGGGAGTACTCCATTTAAAGATTAATAGATTATGCAAATTTCAAAAAATACTCTAAGGTATATTTGCCAACATTGATTTAAACAAAAAAATATTCACCCTTGTGTTTCTGCTTTGAAGTGAGCAGTTTCGATATTCACTGCATCTCATTTTTAATCAGCTCTTTGGAGGAATAGGGCCATAGAAGCCAGTCAGCTCTTCTTTTTGTTAGGGCTAGAAATGATGAAGGTGCTGCCAAGTTTATTCAGAACCTCAGCACCAGTGAGCCATTTTTTTTTTTTTTTTTTTTTACACGTAAGCAGACTGTGAGGGTCTTATCAGGTATAGAATATCTTATCACTGCTAGATAGTTAGATGTTAGAATACTGCGACTTGATTTTCCCTGAATCTTTGCTGTCTTCATTGCATTACAAAGGATTTTGGAGAGTACCAGGAGAGTTACTACTCTGTCCAGACCACAGAGGGAGAGCAGATATCCCAACTTATTGCTGGATACATTGACATCATACTTAAAAAGGCAAGTAACTGAAAAAAGAAACTAAAGCTCTTTGAATTCATACAAACACACGTGCAACTCTCCATACACGTAGCCTGCATTTTTCAGTGTGATGTCTGTGTCTCTCCTCTCTACAGAAGCAGAGTAAAGATCGTTTTGGCCTTGAGGGAGATGAGGAATCCACCATGCTGGAAGAATCTGTTTCCCCCAAGAAGTGAGTAGTGTTCGTGTATCATCGACTGTATTGTCTGTGCAGAATGCTGACCATTCCTATTCAGTGTGCACAGTCCAGTTATTCCTTGTGAATTTAAACCTTGCTGTTTAATTGTGCATGTAATTACATTTCTCCCAGTGTAGTGCCCCCAAGAGAGGTAATGTTAGAATAAAACACAAAAAAAAAGCACTTTGAATTTTAAAGTACCACCGTTCTCGATATTCCAAAAGACAATCTGTTAAAACGCTTCCATGTACAATTTTTTTTTGTTTTTACAAATGCAAACACAAAACCTGCCTAAGGGTAACGCCACTAAATTATTATCTTATTTCACAAGAGAACGCTGCATCTTAGGAAGGTTAAGATATCATCTCATTGGAAGCTCTTTTTAATTCATTCATTTTTATCTCCCAGTTGTTTGCCGTCTCTCGCGATTTTTCCCATGTAGCTTCGTGGCTGATGCTGATGGAAATCAAGGTAATGCTTATGGACCACGGCTCTATCACACAGAGCTTGGAAATTTGTTGTCACTGGAAATCCACATGGCTCTTAGTGAAACCACTATCTGGCAGAATGGGGCATCATATTCCTGCTGCTCACAGGCCAATTGACTCATGTCGTGGTTCTCAGCACAAAAACATAATTGCTGCCTCTCAAAACAAGCCATAATTAACCAGCGGAGTCAGGAGCATCTGTTGAGCTGGGAAGGAAAACAGACATTTTTCTGTACAATATTTTTTCTGACAATGCCTACTCACCTTGGGAACAGTTGCTAACAAGCGTGGTAATTACTTTAATTACAATTTTTGTAATTTTCATCATCCAGCAGTTACATTATTATGTGGATTAATGATCAGAATTTAAATATCCACTAAGTCATAAAAAAAATTGTAGAACACCTCCGTAAGCCAGTTTGCAAAGCACACGACACTGTCTAGACATAGAGATAACTATCCTAAAATAGGATCATTTATAATTGATCTGATGAGTTTTCATAAGGATGGAAGATTAGATGAAAAGCACCATGTATATCATTACAAAGTCTGCAGCCCTGAATGAAATTGGTAATTTAGTTTTTCATTTTGTTTGACGTTATATTACTGGTCTTTCCACTACACATAAAGCTTTAATTTAGATCCTTAGTTTTCACATAACCAGACGGTTTGAATGCATCTGCGTGCGTCCTGCGCATGTGTGTTGAATGTATATTACATACACAACTTCATGATTAAAGTGCATTTAATTATGAAACTCATCTTTTTTTTCTCTTGTGTTAGGTCCACAATTTTGCAGCAGCAGTTCAATCGGGTGGGTCGTGTGGAGCACGGCTCAGTAGCACTTCCTGGTATAATTCGGTCAGGATCCATCGGCGGCCCCGACACCTTTAATATGGGGGTTATGCCCTCTGCCCAGCAGCAAATCACCACAGGGCAGATGCACAGAGGACACATGCCCCCTCTGGTGAGAAAGAGCACTTGCAAAATTGCAAGCGAACATGGTGTCCCACACAAATGCAACTAAAGCAAATACACAGATACACCCTCTGTGCCGCCATGTTTTGATATAAATGTGTAGCATCCAACCACGGGCCACTCTGTGCAATTTAATATAGTGAACAGAGGGGATGAGAAAATGATCAGTGCTCTCGTTTTTAAAATGTCAGAGCACAGTGTTGAGGTCATCCTCACATTTTTTATGTGAATCTGATCTGTGGTGTTTGAAATATTGGCTGTGGTCCCCGCTGTCAACACTGAACCACAATAACAATATGAATATGGCTGTGAGTGAGACAGAGAATGAAACGTGACTTATGCTCACACTAAAAGCCCATCTGTCTCCTGTGGTTTATAGACATTAGATTGCAAGACTGAGAGGTTCACAATTTTGCACCCGCATACAATGCATGTTGTGTATTTAGATTGCTTTTGTTTGGTCATTTGCACACTGTGTGGCTCCGTTGTTTGTTGTTGTCAGAGTCTGGCGCAGCAGGCCCTGATGGGGACCATCAACAGCAGTATGCAGGCTGTGCAGCAGGCCCAAGCTGACCTGGGACATGTTGATAATCTTCCTCCACTGGGCCATGACTTGGTGAGTCTCCTCTCTACAGCGTAGATGCAGCATGAATAGATGGAGTACCCTTCTACATCCAAACATTTAGAGCAACTCCTCGAGTTCCACTTTTCTAGCCATCATGGATGCAAACAGATCTTAGAAATCATCACATCAAAGTCCATCATATTTCTCCAATACAATTAAGCTGTAGAGCTGACTGTAACTGTGGAGGCTGTATTTAATGCTCGAGTGTTTCCAAATATGTAGGTGTTACAGCCAGAGTCTTTTAATCCTTCACAAGAAAGTTTATATGAGCTGAACATCTCCCACTATGATGAAAGCCTATAGCTCTCCTTTTCCTCCTCCACCAAAAGGCGTCCAGGGTTTGGGTTCAGAACAAAGTGGATGAATCCAAACACGAAATCCACTCTCAGGTTGATGCTATCACCGCTGGAACAGCATCTGTGGTCAATCTCACAGCAGGTGAGTACCCAAGAGAAAACTAAACAGCTCAAAGATGGAGCGAGGTATCATTTTCAGTTTTCATTTATTTTTTACGCCACAATTCTGGTTTATGAAAACTGTGTTGGACAAAGCTCTAAAGGAAATGGCCGTGTTTTCAAAAAATATTGTTTATCTTTACATTATTGTATCGTAAGGTGTGAATCAATAAAAGTGTTTTCCAAGTCAGAGTTAAACATGATGATCTTTTTAAACAAGAGAGCATTACCCAGTTTTCCATCTAAATATTTCTAATGATAAATAAATCATGAACTTTTTGTCCTGAAGCTCAACTCACTGGCAGTGTCTCACTCTGCTTCCCATGTTGCTTGGCACAACGCCAGGCAAGTTCCTGCCAGCCTTTTGCAGGATTTTAATCTCACCTCACCATCTGTTTGGTTGCACTTACACTCCCTCCACTATCTAATACAAAGTTTTTCTTTTTTCCACGGCCACTTGCTCCATCAACACGCTCATCTCCGTGGAACCATTTCAGATAGGCTCTAATTATGACACTGACACTGATGTGTGTGTTACAGCATGTGATGCGCAGGCTGCCCCCGTGCATTAGTTAAATCAACGTGGCAGCAGCACAGCAAATTATGATGCACAGTAGAGTTGTAATCTGTAATGATGGCCATCCATTCTCCGCAGGTGAGCCCACAGAAACTGACTACACAGCAGTGGGCTGTGCCATCACCACCATCTCCTCCAATCTCACGGAGATGTCCAAGGGTGTCAAGCTGCTCGCTGCGTTATTGGACGATGAGGTGGGCAGTGGACACAAGCTCATGGGTGCCGCCAGAATGCTGGCAGGAGCTGTATCGGATCTGCTGAGATCTGTTGAGCCTGCAGCCGCTGAGGTGAGACGCCCACTGATTATTGTACTAACTTGGACTTCATCCTCCGCTGTAATCCCGGTAGCCATAAAGCCACGTACAGTGTTGAACTGCATGTTTTCCTTGTTATCAATGTCCCAGTGAAGATGTATTACAGAAGGGCTTTCTGGGATGATTTTTGATCCAGAAGTCTGTTTTAGATAATTCTGGGAGGCCTGTGTGAGAACAGGCCAGGCCAGTGTAATGAATGTGGTGATGTAATCTTCATACAGCCCAGACAGACGGTGCTGACTGCGGCAGGAAGCATTGGACAGGCCAGCGGGGACCTGCTCCGTCACATGGGGGAGGGCGAGACCGATGAGAAGTTCCAGGTTGGACGCCACCCACTCACTGTTCCTATGACACTGCCGGCCAAACAGGAAGACACACACACATTCTCAGGCCCGCTTTAAAAATGTCAATACATACTTATGTAATCACCTCGCGCTTTATTATTAGAGTCTTACTTTGTGTGGATTTTATCACAAAGTGTCAGAAGGTGAGCTTTTATTAGTAGAATAATAATATAGTTTCTCAGACATCCATTAACACAAGCTTATCTGTAGCCTTTGCTATCAGTCTCAGCTATTATTTTATATCTAAATTCATGTTCCTACTACATACACATCTTTTATTCCCTAGATGTCTTCTCACAGCCTTTAGTGTTAATCCCTGGAGAAGAGGGCTCATATAACATCCACATTCTTGGTCTCATGGACCTTGAGACCCTACTACTACACGAAGATCAGTGTTGTCTGGAATCAATTACCTTTACTTAATAATGCAGATATAATTCATTATTCACATCCTAAAATTCATAATCACAATCTACCCCTTGCATAAGGTATTTAAACTGTTATTTTACTGTTCCCTGTGTGTTAGTTGTCCAGTATCCACACTATATCAACTGAACAAAATGAGTTTACTACGTTTACTTTCCTTGGTTCCCTCCTGGTCACATGTGCGCAGCTGTGCTGTGTTTCAGTGAAGGACGTTGATTAATATGTTGCAGGACACCCTGATGAATCTGGCCAAAGCAGTGGCCAATGCAGCTGCTATGTTAGTCCTGAAGGCCAAGAACGTGGCCCAGGTGGCCGAGGACACCATATTGCAGAACCGGGTGATCGCAGCTGCCACTCAGTGTGCCCTGTCCACCTCACAGCTGGTAGCCTGCACCAAGGTACTGATCTAAAACTTGCTCATCTCCACAGTCAAGTAGGTAGAGTAGGTAAAGGACATACCAACAGGCAGGAACCTCCTCCTGTCAGAATTTATCACACTGGTCGCTGTAGCTTTGTTAGAGTTTAATTTGGAAATAAGCAATGTTGAACCTTTTTAAAATTCCAAAACTTTTTTGTTTCATATCTTAAATGAAGTAAGTGATTCAGAAACTAATGAATGACCGTTCCATGTTTCATTTTGAAAGACTCAATTGTTATTCTTGGTTAGATTAAAGAATTACCATAGATATAGGCTGTATAATATCAGTGTAGTCCTCATTTCTTGAAATTCGTCTTGAGCCTCTGCCAACGACTGTGTGTGGTGCAGGTGGTGAGCCCAACCATCAGCTCCCCAGTGTGTCAGGAGCAGCTTGTCGAGGCCGGGAAGCTGGTGGACCGTTCGGTGGAAACCTGCGTCAAAGCTTGCCGCTCGGCCAGCGACGACGGCGAGCTGCTGAAGCAAGTCGGGGCAGCAGCTGGTGTGGTGAGCCAGGCCCTCAGTGACCTGCTGCAGCATGTCCGCCACTACGCCAGCTGTGGAGAGCCCATCGGACGCTATGACCAGGCCACGGACACAATCATGAACGTGACAGAGAACATTTTCACTTCCATGGGTGATGCTGGTGAGTACAAAAAGGAGTACTGTTGTGAGTGAAGTCCAGTTCAAAATGCTTCGGATTAAAGTTGTTTGGTGTCTCCTGAGTTTATCCAGACCTGTTTACTCAAAATCAGGTGGTCTATAATTAATACCTGTCTTGACTGCATCAGAAGGCAGCAATCTTAAAAATCCTGCTGAAACATTTTCAAAGCTCAGTTTCTTTCTTATGGTTCAAGCGATGAGGCTGAAGAATTTCCAAACTCAGCCAATTCTCAAGGGGTTGTAGGAAACATGTCATCCAAAACCACTACAGAGCTCTCAATCTGGTCCCAATCAACATCAGGGAGGCTTTGAAACTTAAAAGGAAACACATGACCTGGGCATTTTTGGAAGGACAAACTTTTTTCTTCAATAAATCAAACAGAAAAAAAAGACTTCATAGACTTCTCTGGGTGAGTTATTTCAAGCTGTAGGTGGGTGTTTGGGAAACACAGGCTTTTTATAGCAGGTGTGTGGGGAGATGGTACATATATTCTGAAGACTTTCATTTGTGCAAGAGAGAATGACTCACTAGAAACCTTCAGCTTGAAGAGTACATGAAGGTGAAAACAACGATGCGACTCCCAAGACTAGAACACAGAAATTTCGTACTGATGCACCATTGGTGGGCACTACGATCATACTGTCAGCTGTTTCTACTGGAATAATAATCGCTTGTATTGGGCCATTGTGCACAATGTTGCAAATCAGCAAAGACTATTTTAACTCAGTACTGGATGTGCATGATTTTCGATTCAATTAAATGATGTGTCTTGATTTTTTTTTTTTTTGCATTTTAATTAAATGGATTAGACAAATAGACATTCCCATTGGTTATTTTATCTCCGGCCTCCTCCCATAAACCAAAGACATGCAGGTTAATTGGTGACTTGGTGCCCTGTGATAGACTGGTGACCTGTCCAGGGTGTACCCTCCCCCTCACCCATTGTTATAAGGATAAGCGGTATGGATAATGAATGAATGAATGAAATGAAAAGCTATCTGATAAAGGATTTTATTAATTTCACACACACCTTTGATGCCCATACATCACTAGAATTGAGGCGCTACTGGCAGTTGAAATGTAAGAATGTGTTTAGGGTGCAGACACACTAATCCATCACTGACCTGACACTAATTTGACAGCGTGTGCAGATGTTTGTGTCACTTTGTTTAAGGATGATTTTGTCACAAAAAACGCTTCTGCGATTCTGATGGTTAAACGGATGGCGACAACTTTCAAAGTTCTGCCTGTCAAAAGGGATACAAATCTACAACAATCTGTGCAACAGACAGTTAGTCCTCACTGAAAAACTAAAACAAATCAGCCACGCCAAATCAGATTTTTTAGCACACTGTGCTGCAGTCTTAGTTGGTGATAGTGATGTTTGTGTGTACTTTCTGTTTTCATCTGTTTACTAGCTGTATATTTGTGTGTGTGAACAGGTGAGATGGTGCGTCAGGCCAGGGTGTTGGCCCAAGCCACCTCTGACCTGGTCACTGCCATGAGATCTGATGCGGAGGCGGAAGTGGATGTTGACAACTCCAAGAAACTTCTGGCTGCAGCCAAACTCCTGGCTGATGCCACAGCTCGGATGGTGGAGGCTGCGAAGGTAAGAGTGTAACAGGTTTACTCTCTCAATGTAATGCAGTAAATATGACTGATTATTTGCTAATGTCATTATTACATTGCTTTGTTGTAGTTTACTTAGGTCTTAATTCCAAATTCATGTAAAAGAACAATTTCTCATTAATTTAACCGCATTGCAAATAATTCGTCTGACCCACAACTCTTGATATTGGGCAATTTTATTCAGTTTTTCTATCAGCACTGCTTTGTTGCATGTCTAATGCTGCTTTGAACGCAGTGTTGAAAGATGAACCGAACTGAATTGCTTTCATTTGATAGAATACACATTTTGGCATTACTGTGAGCACTAACTACCAGCATCATTTCACATCCAAAATGAAAGGGTGCAGCATCAGTGGCTCTTAATAAGCCCCTGGCACTGACGAGGAGGAGATTATCAGTGTGAAATAACCAAGCAAGTGAATCGCTGCTTATGGCTCGTTAGATGTTTTTGATCTGTGACACATTAATCACCACATCACTGCCATTATCAAAGAGGAAGTGGGAATCTGGCACTGACGGTTTCCTTGGAAACTGTCATAAAGCAGACAGAGCTAAATGCCTCTTTGCATCTATTGTGCAATGTGTATAACCAGAGTTGTTAAACTTTCATTGCTGTGATCTGATAGCTATTGTTACATATTGTATGTATGTGTCATCGTCGTGTGTGTGTGTGTGTGTGTGTGTGTGTGTGTGTGTGTGTGTGTGCGTGTGCGCGTATGTGCGCGCGCATCTGCATCTATGTGTGGATGTGTGTGATACTGTGCGTTTCTGCGCCCTCAGGGGGCGGCTGCCTACCCAGAGAATGAGGACCAGCAGCAGAGGCTCAGAGAGGCAGCTGAGGGCCTCCGTGTTGCCACTAATGCTGCAGCTCAGAATGCAATAAAGAAAAAACTGGTCAACAGGCTGGAGGTGAGTCATAGGAGTCAACTGTTCTCATATTTGTGTTGTCTGACCTTGATCTAAACACAACCCTCCTACTTGAGTCTCCTTACCAGCAAAGATGTCATGCAAAAACATCTCTTTCCCACATTTTGTCATGTAGTATAAACATAGTAGAAATGCAATATAAATAAATGGAGAGTTTAGACATTAAGAAGAAGGAAACGCATACCAGAATTCAAATAATGACATGCTTCAGCAGTCATTTGTACAAATATGGCCTATTAGTATTTGCCTGTGTTATTTTTCTTTCCTGTAGGAATGAGCTATAAATCCCATTAGTGCTGTGAATGAACTATCTGCCTTTAAAGATCTGTGTGTAGCCCTTGGTATCAGTTTGCCCCTAATGACCAACCCCTCTCTGCTCCAGAGCAACCAATGACCAATTTCCCAGGCACATAAACTGTGCATTACCCACGGCTGGGATCAGCCTGCTATCAGACATATATCTCAGTCCGCCTCCTTGCGTCAGATGGTCACAGTAATGGTGCTAATGGTCGCCTCCATCAGGGAAGCATGTGAGCCAGTGAAGACCAAAGTGTCATGAATTTGCAAGTGTGCATGTAGCAATTATCACAGACACATTTAGGCCCCTTGAGACCCCATTAATCTTACCTGTTTTCTCACTGTCATTTTTTAGAAGCAAATACAGTATTCTGTGCAGAACTTTGAAAATATAGATATGGCTATTCCATAGATAGAAAATGTCAATCTTTACCTATTGTACCAGTTCTACATGCAGCTCAGTCTTTTTTTATTTTTTTTATTATCAGTATAATGATATCATCTATTCCATGTTTCTTTTTTCATCCTCGCCTCCTCATCCACTCAACAAGGAATATCTTTCTTTCTCTTGTCAAATTGTCACCGCTTCAAAGCTGGTGTTGTGCCTATGAATTAATATGAGCTAAGCAGTATATTCTTAGTGCTTTAGTTTTGGGAACACAGCAAAGGGAAAGCATTGCTGATCATCTCATGAAATAAAGACTGAGCAGTGCAATCCCACCCCATTTCCTCTTCTTACGAAACATTTTTGTTTGTGACCCCTCTTAGTTTGATTAGAACTCTGAGTGCAGAACATGACAGCATAACAGTGCACAGAGCAAAAATAAATGTTAGCCAGACGCCACTCTCTTAGTTTAGCCTAAATGATTTCCATTTGTATCTTCTGAACAGATAGCTGCAAAGCAGGCGGCGGCTGCTGCTACTCAGACCATCGCAGCTGCCCAAAATGCTGCAGCTTCCAACAAGAACACTGTCTCACACCAACAGCTAGTACACAGCTGCAAAGTATGATCACGTACTCTTTTCTTATTTCCTCTTTTTACATGTGTATTTAAAAAACACTGTCAAATAATGTACTGGAAATCTCAAATCTTATAATACTTATTGGCATAAAATATGTATGTTTTGGTAGTCTTGGCCACACATTTCTCTTTCAAACAGGATGATGTATATATGAAGCATACATTCTAGGTATGTTTAAATGCAGGCAGTAGCAGATACCATTCCCCAGTTGGTGCAGGGCATGAGGAGCAGCCAGGCCCAGCCTGAGGAGCTGGGGGCCCAGCTCACCCTCATCATGGCCAGCCAGAGCTTCTTACAGGTCAGTCCTTACATCATAACGCAGCCAGCAACTGTCAAACTCCATCATCAGATACACACACAAACAACTGCTGATTAATTCGTTGTTGTTTTTCTGTCACCATCCCTCAGCCTGGAAGTAAGATGGTGACGTCTGCAAAGTCAGCAGTTCCGACGGTGGCTGACCAGGCTGCTGCTATGCAACTTGGCCAGTGTGCCAAGAACCTGGCTACCTGCCTGGCAGAGCTCAGGACTGCCACCCAGAAGGTATCTATACACAACACTGGCAGAGATAGCAGGATTCATCTCACTGATGCAGGAAATTTCTTCCTTGCGTGTGAAATGTTGTTGGATGTAAGGCTGCACTTAGGTGAGCCCTGATCCTTGATCTCATTTAGAGATACCAGGCACTGTAGATAAGATTGCATCCTGTCTGCTCTGTATAATGGATGGATGGATGCATGCATGTGAGGAACACTAATGTGTGTGTGTGTGTGTGTGTGTGTGTGTGCGTGCGTGCGTGTGTGTGTTGTTTGAAGGCCCATGAAGCATGTGGCCCTCTGGAGATCGACTCAGCCCTCAAAACAGTGCAGACCCTCAAGAGTGAGCTTCAGGATGCCAAGATGTCTGTCATTGAAGGCCAACTCAAGCCTCTTCCTGGGGAAACGGTCAGTACATAGCAAAATCCACTGGGAAGTTCAAGTGAAACATTATACTGTTCACATCATAACTATGAATCAAATTATATTTGTGTGTTCTGTCACTCATGCAGCTGGAGAAGTGTGCTCAGGATTTGGGAAGTACATCTAAGGCTGTGGGCTCCTCCATGGCCCAGCTGCTAACATGTGCTGCACAAGGCAATGAACATTATACAGGTAAGAGAAGTTTACTCCACACAGCATAAGTAGTTATTTAGTTAAATAATTTATTTTCCGTCTAAATTGGTTACATTGCCCGAAGGGGTGCATGGATATAATAAATATGTATAGACTGCTGACTGTAACTTTTATTGTGAAAGTATCTCCTGGGCCAAAGTGGGAGGTGTGAGGATAGAGAAGGTAATATTATGACTCCTTTATTTGTGCTATTACTGTTGCCCTAAAGTGAGACCTTTGGATCTGACATGCCTCGGCTGTTTTTCCATCAATTCTGGCTCAATTGAAGATCTCAGGGGAGGAGAGATGAAGACAGATAGAGAATAACATTTCTAACAATGAATTCTCCCATGCTGCACTTCATGCTGTGGCTCAGGGGTGCTGCTCGCTACTCATTAATTTATTTTCACTAGATTTACCATTCCATCAGCAAATGGCTCCACTTGGCTAGTTAATGCAATTTGATGCAATTTGCTGCTTCTTTTCTCGGTATGTATAATAAGTTAAGAGCACCTCCCGTGTGAGGCCATCTTTATTATATTAACTCATTTATTTAAACAATGAGGACATTTCAGTATCGCAGTTTGTTCTCAGTGTGTGTAGTGTGTGGTGTGTAGCTAGCCCCCACCAGCTGATTTCACAATGCAATTACAATTAGAGTAAAGACAGCTAATACACATACCTCTGGATTTGTATTGCTTAAACAGACTGCTGCAAAGCAAAAGTAATGAGGCTGAAATGAATGTGTTAAGTACAATGTCAGTTTCAATTTCTGCAGAAACATGGTTACTTACTCTCACTACATTAAAAGGTACAGCACAGGAGAAAGTGAACATAGACACTACAGTGGATAGTCTGTGTTACATGTGTTATTATACTGATATATATTTGGTTTGCTGCATGATTTGTCCCCCTGATAGAAAGTATTCATTGTCATTTCAATGTGTGGCTGGTCCGTTTGCAGGTGTGGCTGCCAGAGAAACAGCACAGGCTTTGAGGACATTGGCCCAAGCAGCCAGAGGCGTGGCAGCCAGCACCAAGGAGCCGCAGGCTGCGGCCGCAATGCTCGACTCAGCCCAGTGTGTCATGGAGGGCTCGGCCATGTTGATCCATGAGGCCCATCAGGCCCTGGTTCATCCTGGAGATGCTGAGAGTCAGCAGAGACTGGCACAGGTAGCATATCTCCCAGTAATATATACCCCAGAGACAGTGCTATTCATGGAGCGATCACATTGTTCCATCTCTCTCCTCTACTGATTTGTAAATGTTTCTTCTTTCCATAGCAATCATCCCCTCTAAGCGTTGCTATTTTCTCTCTGCTCTCGCCTGGTATTCCTCTCTCAGGAGTGCCAGAGTAAAACTGCTCATTCTCCGGCAGCTCTTCAGTGGATAAACATATTGTTTGGCATATATCTGTGGCAGCAGCATAAATTAGTGACACGGATTACCGTGCGCCGCTGTGAGCCCAATTTGCATTTGAGGTGTTTTTCCCCTTATAGTGCTGCTCTGGGACTTCGTATTGTTTAGCACATTGTTAGGATGAGTAATGGCAATCCATTGACGGAGCGTTGTGCTGTGTTTCAGGTGGCCAAAGCAGTGTCACACTCCCTGAATAATTGTGTGAATTGCCTGCCAGGCCAGAAGGATGTTGACATGGCCCTCAGGAGCATTGGAGAGGCCAGCAAGAAGCTGCTGGTGGACATTGTAAGTCCCGCTCAAGCTTTTACTCTGGGATTTGTTGGCATTTTGTGTTTGTGTATTGACACAAACATCTCTAAAAGTACGTACGTAAAAGTACATTCAGATATCACCCCATAACTGAACAGGGCCATTCCCATTTGACTTGATTTTTGATATTCTCCGGTACGGCTAATGTGTGTCTCGTCTTTGAAGCTCCCTCCCTGCAGTAAGACATTCCAGGAGGCCCAGACTGATCTGAACCACACGGCAGCTGAACTCAACCACTCTGCAGGCGAGGTCGTCCACTCCTCTCGTGGAACAAGCAGCCAGCTGGCTGCGGCCTCGGGGAAGTTCAGCCAAGACTTTGATGAGTTCCTGGATGCCGGCATTGAGATGGCAGGACACACCCAAGTAGGTTCCATGATCATGCAGCCCCTCCACCCTCCACTGAAACAGTTCAGTGATAATCTACTGCCACCGCTATTTTACACGTGGAGCAAAGTGTCCAAACACTTCAGTGGACAGGCAAGACTTAAATACTGAGTGATCGAGCTCATATTTTTGTGGCACTTTAGCACCTTAGCTATTTAAGCCATTTGGTAATTAGACCTTTTCATCTAATTCACTTAGGCACATGATTGTCCCCAAGAGTACTAACATAGTCAGAAGTAATGAGATCTTGTGATGTTCTTGTTCAAGCTATTTTGCTCATTAATTTGGAAAGATCGTCTGGGATTGGAGTTGATGTAGCATGACACCCGAGCTTTAATCAGGCTCAAAGACGCCTGCTGAGGGAGGATATAGGTTGTAGGGACACATTAAGAACATTCTTTGCGATGTTTTGTCTCTGAACAGATGTTGGTGAATACAATAAATACTGTGTATATTTTGGCTATATTCAATACAGCTTTGAATCCATCTAAAAAAAATCACCTGCATTTTTCTTTTTTCTTCCCCTGCAGAGCAAGGATGACCAGATCCAAGTAATTGGTAATCTGAAGAACATCTCCATGGCGTCCAGTAAGCTGCTGCTGGCTGCCAAGTCTCTCTCTGTGGATCCAGGTGCAGCCAATGCTAAGAATCTTCTAGCTGTGGCAGCAAGGTGCGATGAGATGCGGATAGCACCTGATATGTATCTGATATTCTCCTCATTTGTTTGCAATTAAGCTCTTACAGTATTTGCTAGTAAACTGAACCATTCCGTCCTAAATATGAATCCGGTTCCAGATCCAAGCCTGTGGGAAGTTGTGAAAAATTAAGATTCTATACTTAAATGTCACGAAACGTCTCCCCGTTGCATCTGTATGCCACTCCTAAAGCTCTGTCTGTTCAGCGTTGCTGGAGGGAGTGCATATCCTCCCCCTGGTGGAGAGAAGCCAAGCAGCTGGTCCCACAGGGCTTTGGGCCTGACTGACTTCTCACTGTCTAATTAGGAAGATGGAAGCCTTGGATAGAGCCTGTCTGTGCTCAGCAAGGCTGAACACAAACTCAAGACAATCTCGGCACTCCAGTCTGCTGTGTTAGCCTATCGCAGTGAGAGGCCAGCAGTGCCATGCTTGAATAGGGGAGGCTAAAAGCATGTGTGAGTGAGTGTGAGTGCATCCAGGCTGTGCATGCATGCAGAGGACACATGTGAGAGCTAAAAAGCCTGTGTGGCTGCCTTGTGTGTTCCAGGGCGGTGACAGAGAGTATTAACCAGCTGATCACGCTCTGTACTCAGCAAGCAGCAGGACAAAAGGAGTGTGACAACGCCTTGAGGGAGTTGGAGGTAGTCATCCTCACATACACTGTACCACACACACACACACACACACACACACACCTCTCCTTCTCTTCAGGCCTGTTTTATGTTGCCTGTGCATGCCTGTACTGTTGGTTTTTCGTCAGCAAATCTAAGTGCATTTTTTTCACTCTTGCCTTCCATCTATTTTGCATTTGTTTACTCTCACGGAGAGGTTCATTGTAGATGGACATTAAATTCAGAATAACAGTGACTGCGTTAGTGATCCTGGTTGAACAAGAGCATTTTGCGTACTGAAGACTACATTCACTTATCACTTATACTCAAGTAACTGAAAATAACAATGATGCTGTGCATTTAAAAGCGTTGGTTATCATGATTTACAATGGCTATATGTTACAATTAGCTTGATTTACATTTAAATAGCTAATGAAAGTGTGAGGGTATGATAGTAGAATTGTTCAGTGGTGTGTCTATCGTAGTTATTACCATCTCTTTCTGTGCACAGGCGGTCAGAGGGCTCCTAGATAATCCCAACGAGCCTGTCAATGAACTTTCCTACTTTGACTGCATTGAGAGTGTCATGGAAAACTCAAAGGTACAGGCTTTTAAAATAATATCATACTGTATAGATTCAGAGATATGTTACATAGTAGTCAGCTGAAGCTCTAATTTCTCACATGTTTCCTCCATTTCCAAACGCCTCAGGTCCTCGGAGAGTCAATGGCAGGCATTTCTCAGCACTGTAAGACAGGTGATGTAGTAGCCTTCGGGGAGAGCGTGGGCGTGGCGTCCAAAGCACTGTGTGGGCTGACGGAGGCTGCAGGACAGGTGAAATCAACTTCCTTTCCTTTTTTGCAATCCAAATCTGCCCAGTATTTATCATGTCACATTTCAGTGAGGAAAGCAAAGTGTTTTTTTTTTTGAAGGGCAATATATCAATACATGATAAGAAAATTCAAATCCATCCTGACAAGGTGGAAATGATTCATAAATGGTATTTATACCAATTATGAATCTTGGTATTTATACCATTTATGCCATTTATGAATCTTGGCTGTGAGGCAGGGTGAGTCAGGTTTCAGTGGAGGTTTTACAGACTCCCGACCCTGAAGCTGTAAAACAACATCCTCACCTCCACGCAAGATTCAGCTGCCTTGTCTGGAAAAGGGCACACCCTGACAAATCCTTTGTTCCCACTGCTTATCTTCTCTCAGAGAGCTCCCCTGTTATGCATCATGTATACAATATGAATCCATGTGTGTATCTATTCAGGTATTCGTGCACTTGTGTATGTATGTCAGAGAATGTGGACTGCGTGTTTGAGTGTTAGCTTATCTGTGACAACAAATGTAGTCTTGGAGGACAATAAAAGACCTGTCTAGTGGCAAACTGATGCATTAATACAACTGCCTTTCTGTTTTTCTGCCCTGTAGGCGTCTTATCTTGTAGGTGTGTCTGATCCCAATAGTCAGTCAGGCCACGAGGGGCTGGTGGATCCCATCCAGTTTGCAAGAGCCCACCAGGCTATACAGATGGCTTGTCAGAACTTAGTGGACCCAGCCAGCAGCCCCTCACAGGTAAGACGGTCCAATCTGAGGCGGCAAAATATTACAGAACGGTTCCCCAGCATACGGGGACTGCACTTGGGTATATAGATCTTTTGTAACTTGAATTAAATGGCTCATTAAGTTTGAAAACGTAAAAATCGACCCGAATGTTGTAAATAATTCACTCTGCACACCTCACCAGAATGCCTCATTTTATACAGCTCCGCTTCTTGTTTGACCGTGTTTATCTGTTTGTCAGGTCTTGTCCGCAGCAACAATTGTAGCAAAACACACCTCAGCTCTCTGTAACGCCTGCCGCCTGGCTTCCTCTAAGACCTCCAACCCTGTGGCTAGGAGACAGTTTGTGCAGTCAGCCAAAGAGGTGGCCAACACCACAGCCAACCTCGTCAAAACCATCAAGGTCAACTCCCCAACTGATCAAAACGTTGAGTGTAAATTCGTTACAGAATTTTTTCGTCGAGTGAGAAGCTGTCGATGTGTGTATAATTCATTCACTTACAAAAATACAGTCAAAATGGACACATATTCAAATGGCGTTGTCTGGTTTCAGGCCTTAGATGGGGATTTTTCTGAGGAGAACAGAAACAGGTGCCGTGTTGCTACAACCCCTCTCCTTGAGGCTGTAGAAAACCTCTCAACCTTTGCCAGCAACCCTGAGTTTGCGAGCATCCCGGCTCAGATCAGCAATGAGGTATTCATCCATTTTAATGACTTTTTGTAATGCCCCATTTAAAATGTTCTTTTTTCAATTTTTCCACAGTTGCTAATGACTGAACTGAATGAGAATGAATGGCAGTCTTTCATGATGTCCTCTGTTCTCAGAAACATCCCATTTGTAAATTTCTTCCACTCATCCTACAGAGGATCTTGAAGCCACTCTTCAGAAAGATTTAATGACTATGTTTGTGACTTGTGCACTCAACCCCCTTGAAACAGGCACTCTTATATGATCCAACACAAAAAGGTTTGTACAGCAAACATGGGGCGGAATTGGATTGAGGTTCAATTTTCCCTTTTCTTTTGATGTCTTGAAAAGACTCAAGAAGAAAGATGGATTTTTATTTTTCAATCTGAGCGGAACAGTTCTCGCACAGTCCTCTAAAAGCTTTATGGCTGTAATCTGTTGGAGGGCAGTGTTTAACGGCACTCTCTCTCAGCACAGCTGCTCTAATCTTCAGCTTGTTAATCTAATTGTCGAGGGAGGCTTTGGCTCGGATCATAAAGACTGAAGGTGTTTCTTCCTGCATCTGTGTAAAGCTGCCTTTCTAATCTCATCCCTCCCTTTGATCGCACCTTTGATCTCCCCAAGGTAGTCAAGGAATATTAACAACTCTGTCATACCAATGTGGCCACCTCTTCGTTGTTGAGCTGTTACCTGGGTTGTTGTTTCACCTGCACTAATCTTTTCATTTTCACAGGGCTCAGCAGCACAGGAGCCTATTGTGTATTCAGCCCGTTCCATGCTCGATAGCTCCACTTACCTTTTAGAAACGGCCCGCTCACTGGTCCTCAACCCCAAAGATCCTCCCACCTGGTCCATACTAGCTGGCCACTCCAGGACGGTTTCTGACTCCATCAAGAGCCTCATCACCTCCATTAGGTTTGTATTAATCCCACCCACGACCTAATCTGTCTCTGCAGGATTATCCTGAATCAAAGTTTGTAACGGTTTGCTCACAGTTGGAGGAAAAAAATTTGCTGAATGGCTTATTCTTTGATATCTATTCAGCTAAGCAATAAATTGCCACATTAGTTTGCAGCTGCCGTGATTCCCGCTGCCTTTTAATAGATTAGTGAAAACTATAGAACAGTGATGAGATGATGAGCCTTGCTACAGTGGATCTGAAACACGTGAGTGCCCCACTCGCTTCTATCTTCATCATCATCCTCCAATCATATGCATAAACTACACTATTCTCATAGCAGCTAAGGCTTAGAAAAGGCAACAGCTGATTAGCTAGACTTAACATAAAGACTGGCAGAGCCAGACCACCTGTTTTCCCCTGCTTCCATTCTTTATACTAAGCTAACTAATTGCTCTATAGCTTTATACTTACTGTAAAGATTTGATGTTGGTATCAACTTTCTTATCTAACACTAAAGCTATGTTGCGAAAATGTTAACTGTCAAATATGCTTACTGTTGTGCCATGATTTTTGTATTAGTCATGTTTATACTGTATATTCATTTGCAAAAAAAATATAGAAATATATATTTTAATTGTTCAATATTTCTGGTCATAGGGACAAGGCACCAGGACAGAGGGAGTGTGATTACTCCATTGATAACATCAATAAGTGTATCCGGGACATTGAGCAAGCTTCCCTAGCCGCTGTTGGTCAGACTCTGCCCTGCAGAGATGATATCTCCATGGAAGTGAGTTCAAGTACCCCATCAGCTCTGTCTTGTCTGAGAGAGAGAACTTAATGGGATCTGTAGTCTTTCTGTTGTGACTTATACCGTAATTCTCTCCCTTTGTAACTCACCAGGCGCTCCAGGAGCAGCTGACATCCTCTGTGCAGGAGATTGGGCATCTGATTGATCCTGTCTCCACCGCAGCCCGAGGCGAAGCTGCCCAACTAGGACACAAGGTGCTGGTCTGATCATATATCCCTTCATCCCCTCTGGATTTAGAAAGAAAAATCCATTCTCTCTGTTTTGTGTCTTGTGAGCCTATCCTTCCTCAGACAGCTCTCTTAAACTTGTTCTCCCAGGTGACCCAGCTGGCCAGTTACTTCGATCCCCTCATTGTGGCATCGGTTGGCCTGGCCTCGAAGCTCCACGACCACCAGCAGCAGATGACCATCCTGGACCAGACCAAGACCCTGTCTGAGTCTGCCTTACAGATGCTCTATGCTGCCAAGGAAGGCGGAGGAAATCCAAAGGTACTATGTTATGCTATGTGTAGCCAGCATGACCATTATTTCAAGGGTGATCTGTGATAGTTCGCTAGATTTTAATGAGCAGATCAAATCAGTCATGTTTTTCCAAGATAGAGCTTTTTTTTTTTTTAAAGAGATTCAAGCCATTCTTTACTGCTGAGCATGAAGAGTTCCCTTCTGCCTCAGTTTCTGTAATTCTCTATTATATGTTCCTCTCTCAGCCATAAGTCATTTGTTCTTCTCATACTGAACAAAGCTACATGAGTTCTCACTAGCTTTTATGGCTCTCTATTAGTGTTAGAATGGATTTTTAAGATTTTAGTGATCATTTTTTAAAACACCCATTCACCGCACAATTTCTGACTCTGTTCTCAGTTGATTGTGCTGTTGCTCAAACTCAGCATCACAAAATAATAAAATTACATTGGAGGAATTTCTTTTGTGTAATAAAATTGCCCCTGCCCTGTATAATTCTCTTATTTTTATTGATACTGCTTAACTACATTCCAATATATTTCATATTACCGTTGTATAACATGTCAACTTTGTTAAATTTTGATATTCAAATTTGAATTATTAGAAAAGCAAGCGGTAGAAGTTCTAACGACAGCAAGAATCCAGCCTGGTGAAGTGTCCTCTAGTGAGATGCTGAGTACTTACCAGCTGTAGGGACACTCTGAAGCTCTGACACTGTGGTCAAGCTGATAAATTTCCTTCTGGCTAGACCAAGACAGTGTCACAGGAATGTTAATCAGCTGACTGTGTCCCCAGGCGTCCCACACCCACGATGCCATCTCTGAAGCAGCCCAGCTCATGAAGGAAGCAGTGGACGACATTATGGTGACTTTGAATGAGGCGGCCAGTGAGGGAGGCATGGTCGGGGGCATGGTGGAGTCCATCGCTGAGGCCATGGGCCGGGTGAGTACAAGTGGGTTTGTGTTGCATTTTCATGTGTGATGATACCATCTCGTGAGAAGTCTGCTCAGGTAGTTTAAATGGATTTCAGGTTGACACTTATTCCCTTTCTTATTTGTCTGAAGACAAAATGAGTATTCCCTGCAAGAGTAGCTCCACAGTGGGTCTGCTGAGAGTGTGTCCTTGTCAGTGACTCTCATTAGTCCAATATATGACAAGTTTAAATCCATAGCCCACTGGTGATGTTGGCTGTCACTCATCCTGCTGGGGGATATGTCAGTGTGTTGACAGCACGGTTAATAATTGACGATGATCTGCACATACTCAGACGTATGCACTTGGCACAGATTTCATCCTTTAGTTTTACTTTTCCTCTAGAGTTTTTTTAAATGTTTTATTTTACCCTCAGTTTAAATGTAGGAAGGCGACCATCATTAAAACTCCATTAGCATATATAAAGTGGAAACACTTTAGAACAAGAACGCATACATAAAAGGTCTATATGTTCTCACTAATAGCTTTTTAATTGTTAACAAATTATACATCAATTAACAAGTTATACTGTACAATAAAAAGAACTCGGGTTACCAAATGGTATGTGTTCAGTTTTAGTGTTGCCAGCACAACTTGATTTATCTTTGTAGCTGCTTCTTAAATTAATCACCCTAACTTTGGAGGGCAGCTGTTTATTAATGACTAAAATATGCAACTGCATTTATTGTAATGTGGAAAAATCCTCAATATGTAGAGATATCTAGATCTCAATATGTATTTATTAGCAACATCCATCAGGGTTGCAGTCATAAATGTACTAAATTTCAATGTTAAGCTCGACTGATACTGGATTTTGGAGGCCAATACTGATACTGCTAAAGATTTCTTAAATTTGTTTATTAAAGAATAACTATACTACAACTATACTACTATTTTACAACTATATAATAGAGACACTGTTTACAAATAACTCAAACATAAAATATCTTTGGCATGTCTATACTGCAATTTCTTGTTACTTATCGGTCAATATATATGATAATACTTATCTATGTATAAAAAGACTGATTTAATGGTTGGGCTGTAATTTGGTCTAAAGCCGTCTTAGGGGGATCAGAAAGTCAGTGGGATGGTTCCTTTATGGAACCTGCATCAAAAAACAAAGCAAGAGAAATAAGCAGATGATCGACCAAGGTAATCCTTCACTTCATTGTGCGCTGACAACCTAGCGAACCAAAAGCTCCTTATATTTAGCATTTTTGATATCTTCATACTAATATCTAAAATGCATTTATAATATAATACAGAATGAAGAAATGATTATGAATTGATTATCCACAATGTGGATTACGCCAAAATTCACAGATTCTTACCAAAGGTTTAACAGAGCTGTCAGATCACTATTAAAAACAGTGGAATAGTTGTATAGTAGGAATAGTAAGCCTTATTATGAAATGGTACCAAACAAAAACAATTGTCTCACCTAGTAGTACCTTGTGTAAAGCCCTAATGTAGAAATGTATTGTATTGTAAACCCTGAAATAGAGAAAGCACTAAATGGTTGATCTTCACAGCTGGATGAAGGAACACCCCCTGAACCTGAGGGCTCCTTTGTGGACTACCAGACCACCATGGTAAAGTTCTCCAAGGCCATCGCCATCACTGCACAGGAGATGGTAAGTGCACTAATGTGCTGGGATATCCATGCCTGACTGTGTGTTTTCCATTACTTTTCCAATCTACAATGACAATATTTGCCAGTAGGGCTGGAGAAACATTAATCTGCTTCTGCTGATGATGTATGTTCTCTCTGTCGTCAGATGACCAAGTCGGTAACTTGCCCTGAAGAGCTCGGTGGCCTTGCCTCTCAGGTGACAGTGGACTATGGACAGCTTTCACACCAAGGACGCCTTGCCGCAGCCACCGCAGAGCCAGAGGAGGTGAGAGGCCATGCCCACTGTCCTATATAGAGGATGTAGGGGAAAATTACATACTTGAACTGAATGAAATATTTAACACATCATGCCATATATCTCTTTACTATTGTTACTATTGTAGCTCTGCATTTTACACCAAAAACGCTTTCGGATATATTCACTCACACATTTGTGAGGCTGCTCCTGACAGTGTGAGATCAAACATAACCCCCCCCCACCCCAGCCCTCCACCTCCTCCACCCCCTCCACCCCCACATATTCTTTTCTTAAAGCTTTGCTGCATAGTCCAGAGGCCAGCAGTGTGTGGAAACATTGCACTAATAAGCACACAACTCTTATCAATACCTTGTATATAACAGGCTGCTGGAAACCCTGCTGGTTACCATAGCGACATTGTGCCTCTACAAGTCTAAAAGCCTATAGTGATGCTTATAATGAAGTACCACCCACCCATGAATCTCAGTCTGGAAATTAAAGGTGTAGTGCCAGCATTCCCTCTCTGAGGGTGCTTCAAATCATTTTCATCCACGGGCTGGATAAGAGACATGCCAGTTTAGGATATGATTGTGGTTGTGTAGCACAGTGACACAAATGAGAAGATGGATGCCTGGTTATGCTTTCAGGTCGGTTTCCAGATAAAGTCACGGGTGCAAGAGCTGGGCCATGGCTGTATCTACCTGGTCCAGAAGGCTGGAGCCCTGCAGCTCAGCCCCACTGACAGCTTCTCCAAAAGGGAGCTCATCGAGTGTGCCCGCGCAGTCACAGAGAAGGTAAGCTGTGTGGACAGAAAACTGGTACAGCATCTCTAACTCTCTTGCAGAAGGAAGCTTTTTTTTTTTTTTTTTTAATTTTGACTTTTTAAGGGGAGTCTATTTTTGCTGTCATAATTTGCCATCGCTGCTGTTTGAAGTTTGGTGGCAGCATCAACTCGGCATTAGCATTTTTATGAAAATATTTCATGCATTTCTCAGCACTGCTGCCATATATACAGTATATTCCTATTTAAATAAAGTGATTGAGAACATATAAGTGCGTGCAACTGCAAAACTTGAGAAGATGTTACTAGACTATTGCTAACAGGTATGCTTTATATTCTGATTATTATTCATTATTTTTTAATGTATGGCCTCAGCTTTAATTTTGAACTAGTATACAGTCAAAAGAATAGAGGGTTAACATATGCTATTTTAGGTGGTAATAAACGGGGCTTTACTGTATTATTGTACCAATGATGCAGGTCACGAGAGCATGCCCTCCTGACCACCCTCACACTGTGCAGTTAATAATAGTGCTAGTGTCCCCCTGCTGTGACCCCGGCAGCAGCTAGTCAATGCTGCTCACACATCAGAATTTATCTCTACTCTGAGGCTATGATTTGGTTCGGGGCACATATCAAACTTGTATAATTTGTGGTGTGGCGCTTGTTAATACTTGAAACGTGCGCCTTGTTGAAATTAACCTCTCAGGACTTTCCATTTGTTTATGAGGGATGGGCAGATGCCAGTCTTCAAGGGAGTTGTGTGATTTGCAGAGTCAGGCTCATTGACTTAATGTGATTGTGCAGCAGACTCTGATTTAATGCATGCTTAACCCTGCTCTCTCCTCTTAGTCCCAGCTTCCTGCTTTAATCCAGCTCTGTCCAGATCTTCCACTCTAAACATTTGCAGCCTCACTCACCTGCTTCATAAACGCTACAACAACATTTTATAAAAAAGGAAAAATTGCTGTTTAATCATTAAACACTTGCAATGCATGCAGAAACTGGGGTTATTTATAGGTGTTTTTACACCTCTAAAAACAGCATGTTTGAAGGACTTCTCTGCATATCTAATGCTGTGCTTCACATGTTCCAGGTGTCCTTGGTCCTGTCAGCACTACAGGCGGGGAACAAAGGCACCCAGGCCTGTATCACAGCAGCCAGCGCTGTTTCTGGCATCATCGCTGACCTGGACACCACCATCATGTTCGCCTCAGCTGGAACACTGAACCCTGAGAATGAAGAGTCTTTTGCTGACCACAGGTGCAATGACCTTGCCACAAACAAGAGAAGCAGAGCAAGACACGGTGTTAAATGAAAACCTCAAATCACTAAAAAGAGCAACATTTGATGATGTTAAAAACAGGCCATAGATTAATGGGTTTCAAGATTTCATTTGCTAGGTTTTTACTCTGCAACACCGGAGCTGCTTTTTTTTTTCTTTTGATGACTCACTCAGGAAGAGAGCAGTTTGCCAGTAGTGCAGAATATTGAGCTGCATTTCACATAATGAATGCAAATTGAAAATTGTCCGTACTAAACACGCATTCTGTTCAGAAAAGCAACAGCTTCCTTTCATATTGCTGGTACTTGAGTGTGACTGTGGAGCAGATTGTGACACAATGTGTCCCGTCCCTCAGGGAGAGCATCTTGAAGACAGCCAAGGCGCTGGTGGAGGACACCAAGCTGCTGGTCGCTGGAGCCGCGTCCAGCCAGGAGAGACTGGCGCAGGCTGCCCAGTCCTCAGCCAAGACCATCACCCAGCTCACTGAGGTGGTCAAACTAGGAGCCACCAGCATGGGCTCTGAGGACCCCGAGACACAGGTGATGTAAATCCAAAGCACATTTAGACTACAGAATGTCTAATAGAGGCACAGATGTTTCAGCCATAAGTAGTCACAGTTGTATGCTTTAATTTTCTAAAAGATTAAAATCTTTAACTAAGCTCAGTTATTACTTTTTAATTTAGCAGCACAGAGCTTTGTTCTGCTATTACGATTCTTTGTCATTACACTATTCTCTAATATCAGTCATTTACAATGAATGACTTCTATCTGTCTGTACAGCCAGCGTTATATTCTCTGCGTAATTGAGGTTTCATCCAATACATATTGTGTCTCCTCTTTCCCCTGTGTGTATGCCTCTATCTCTGCCCTGCACTAAGTCTGAAGTATCATGACTAGGTGGGAGTGATAAGGGCTGCAGTGTTAAATCCTCTCCCCGGGGAAAGACTGATAAACCTATACTCTGACCATTGTGCCATATTGATTCCAGCTCTATCTCCTCAGGTGGTTCTGATAAATGCGGTGCGTGATGTGGCCAAGGCTCTGGCCGAACTCATCGGTGCCACCAAATGTGCCGCAGGGAAGCCGGCTGACGACCCGTCCATGTATCAGCTGAAGAGCGCTGCCAAGGTAAAGGATAGACCGCTCAAACAAACGACTGTCATATCTGGTTTAGCTGTGTACCTGTAATTTATTTTTCAGCTGATGCTTTCTCGCCGAGAGGATACAGCAGGTAGATATGTATTGCACAAACGCTGTCTTTGTTTTGCTGCTGTATCTGGTAGCACAATGTGTGGCTGTTTTACAGGAAGGATATGACCTATTCTTATCAGGGTGTGTATTTATTCACTTTTTCTGTCTAATCTGTATGTGGGAGAGGAATCGTTACAAAGATGTATATTTTGTGTATGCATTTGTGTGTGTGTGTGTGTGTGTGTGTATGTGTGAGAGAGAGAGAGAAAGAGCTAGACCTAATCTGCTTTGCTGAGAACTGTAAGTGGTGTAACTGTCAGTCAAGCACATACCTCCACGAAGGCCAAACAGTCGTTCAGTTTCTTCCACCACATCTGGATTATTATCTGCATCTGCACAAAATTATATAAACTCATAGATCTCAACACCATGAATATGTATGATTTCCTACAAATGTTGAAAATATCTTGCAATGTTAAGGAAAGTGATTTAAAAAAAAAAAAGAAGAAATTCCTGAATCCGCCCCTTTAACTAGATCCGCACCAAAATGTAATGGCCTCTTCCCTGGTCCCCACCCCTCCGCCATGTTTGGTGCAAATCAGTTCAGTATTTTTGCATAATCCTGCTGTCGAATAAATAAACAGACATGGTGTGAAAACATAACCTCCTTGGTAGAGGTGAAAAGCAGCACAATAAGGGTTCCTCTTCCAAACTACACACACATGCAAAAGGAGGTGTATGTGCAAAGTAGCAACAAATAGCAGTAGCAGAATTACAACATGGAGAATATATGAAATATAAAGAAAATACCAAGTGTAATAAGAGTTTCAGAGAAAGTGTACGAATACATTTTTTCTTATGAAAACTGGATCACAGAAAACTTCCAGGTTCTGCCACAGGCCTGGGAGAATGTGAACCATACTGTGCATACACAAAAGAGGTGAGAGTTTTCATTTTCCTCTTGGTTGTCATCACCACTTCTACAGCTGCCAACCTGCCGAGGAATAAAAACCTGAGATCAGACGTTTTGTGTCTAACCTTTTTGCAGCTTCGGTCACTGCAATAGAGAAACAAAAATCAAAGCACTGAATCAGTGATAGAGCCTCAGATAACTGTCAACCTCCCTATTTTCTAGTCTACAAAACCTTCTGCAAACTTCCTCGGTTAATTTATTTATTTTACTCACAACTATCATCCCAACCGCAGCATGTAAGTCTAAGTGCTGCCTGGGGTGTGTAATGTTTTCTCATCTAAATGGAATTAGGGCCACCCATGGACCTGGTCATGTTGACAGATTGTTTTTGTTCTTCCAACATATGGTGACCTCCAAATGGGACCCTCTCAAACTCCTGGCAATCATGGTGCTCAAATTCCAAACCTAATAATATACACTTTGCTGAATGCAGCACAGACAGAACAGAATGTGTCACCATGAACTGTATTTTTCCATCCTAGGTGTCATTGCATAAATTTTATTACCAGTACTAAATCAGCCTCTTTTCATTTTGAAATAAATCCCTCAGTCCTTCTTCAGCAGCTGATTGTTTAATTTTCATTTGATAAGCATCTTCAGCACATGTAACCATTATTCACTGTAATGGAATCAGTGAAGAGGGAAGAAAATTTTATTATTCTACAATATGATATTTTTTGCAGCCGAGGAGAAAGAGCTCCACCTCCTGGTCTGAGCCTCATTATTACTCCCTTCTATTTGACAGGTCATGGTGACCAACGTGACGTCTCTTCTAAAAACAGTGAAGGCAGTGGAGGATGAAGCCACTCGCGGGACGAGGGCACTGGAGGCCACCATTGAGTGCATCAAGCAGGAGCTGACAGTAAGAGTGCCTGACAGGCCGGACCACTTCTTCTGTGGTCTATTGGGAGTCAACTGATGAGACACAGCCTCTCTGCGAAGCTGGCCCAAAGAGGGTCAGGGATATCTATGTCTATTATTCTGAACAAAACAGGGGAGCTTTTTGTTCTTTCTTTTTCCTTTATTGTCTGTCCAGCTCCTTTCCTCCTCCTTCCCTCTCAGCCCCTGCAGGTTTCTCACAGCTCTTGTTCTTATCGTGGTCTGGGTAGCAGGCAGGAAACAGGAGGGAGATTTCAAGAGCTTGTTTTTTTGTAATTTACTGCTAATCCTTATCAGAGGACCCCCAGCCTGAGAGGAGGCTTTACCAAGAGCTGCAGCCAAAGCCAAATTCAACACAGTCTACCTAACTACTAATTGCTACCCATATCAGGATTTTCCGTTTAGACTGATTACACTTTCTGTGCACTTCTATGAGAATTTTCCCATCTATATTAACGTATCCGAGCCCGTCCGTGTCTATAACCAACTACCCGCGTCTGCGCTTCATCATCATGTCAGGTGTTCCAGTCCAAGGACATCCCAGACAAGCCCACCACGCCCGAGGAGTTCATCCGCATGACAAAGGGCATCACCATAGCAACGGCCAAGGCAGTGGCTGCAGGCAACTCTGCCCAGCAGGAGGACGTGATCGCCACTGCCAACCTGAGCCGCAAAGCCATCTCCGATATGCTGACTACCTGCAAGGTGCTAATCCACACAGCCCTGCCAGAACAGGCCTCACACAGACAGCACCAGGCTGCCAGGGAACATGTGAGCCCAGCCTGCTGAGAGCAGATAGGACATTAGAGTCTAGTGGACTTTATGGCTGCTCCCGCTGGTAGTGACTCAGTCACTTTTAAGTCAGCATGTCCTTCAGCGACCGTAGAGCAGCTGCAACAAGATAAAACAGAGGAAAGACAGAGCGTTGTAGGCTGTAGGCTTTTGAAAACCGAGGCATTACAAACAAATTAGTGAAGAATTAAGAGATTTTATTAGCTATATATTTGATTTGTGATTGTTACTAAGTTCATCTGCATAAGTAAAAGTATATGTTGCCTATTCCAGACCTAACACATTTTCACTGTGATATTAGGACCTGTCTTAAATTTCAGCGTTCCACTGGGAAAAATGACTGTATCTGTTTTTAAATGTGTTTTCTCACCCTTGCAGCAAGCAGCGCACCACCAAGAAGTGGGGGAGGAACTGAGGGTGAGGGCCCTGCAGTACGGCTATGAGTGCACCAGTGGATACATCAACCTTCTGGAGCAAGTGCTGCAGGTTAGAATGAGTCAGAAGCATGTGTCATAAATAAATATATAATGGAGGTGGCTTGTGTACGTGTGCATGCATATGTCTCTAGCTATGGATGAGTGGATCCTGGTCTTTACTATTACCATGTGAAATCTCACAGGTCTTATCGACAAGATTATACCCTGTGATGCTTGACAAATCTCTCCTGGCTTCCTGTCACTCATACTCTCCATTTACTGTAACATGACCATGAACTGATAATGGAAAGAAAGTCTTGTGAATGACTGCTATTCTTAAACATGAATAACAGGACTGAAGGCTTTTAAATTTGCCTCTATGTCTGCAGTCTGTGTGTCTGCATCCGTGTTTATTTAGACATTTAATTTCTGAGCAGCTTGTTGCATACATTTGCATATTAATGAGCAAAACACATTTTTTATGAAATTCCTTAGTTCATTATAACATTCCCCATGTGTTGTATGAAGACAGGTGTGTTGACATGTAAGTCACACTTACATGTTTGCTATTTAATGCTTAATGAATCACCTCATTTGCATAATTAGTTACAGGTACATCATGTTAATTCTGGCAAATGGGATCTGGATATTTGCCCACTAACAGTACCATGTTTTATAATTTGTGGTCTCAGAGAAAGAAAGAGAAGAAAAAATTATACTGTTGCTACTTTGCTAGTTAACTTTCTCAGAACCAAACCAAATGTAAAAAAATAATAATAATAACGAGGCAACAATAGACTCACTGGAAGGGAGTGCATGAATTTCAAATCAAGTCAGTTATTTTTAGTTGCAGTTATTAGTGAGTTCATTTTCACATCATTTATGATCTGGGTCGGTTTGAAGGACAGCGGAACAGATATAGATGTTTGTAAGCCGTGTGTGTGTGTGTGTGTGTGTGTGTGTGTGTGTGTGCGCTTGTCCACGTGTTGGGCTCGTGTGTTTTCAGGTGTTGCAGAGACCCACGCCGGAGCAGAAGCAGCAGCTGGCCGTACACTCGAAGCATGTGGCGGCGTGTGTGACAGAGCTCGTCCAGACAGCTGAGGCCATGAAAGGTGAGGCCACACACACTGCTGATGTACACTGTCACACACTCTTACGCAGCGCACACAAACAAGAGTTTGGCTTGACAAATTTTAGTTACCCATGACCCCGTTTCTCAGTGATGTCAGGATTTTATGGACCATTTACCACACATGAAAGTTGTATATATTTAGCACTCCAAGTCTTTCGTACTCTATATAACAGTATTATGTTATTTTATTCGGAGGCATGAATTTTACAGAAGCTTCTGTGCTTTCCAAAAATCGTTGGCAGCAGATTTTAATTTTAAGATGACTGTGAGACAGTATGCGCACTGCAGTTTAAAACTGGGAGAGCTGAAATTGCAGCATATAGTGAAATTAAACGCAAGGGGATTCCCATTAGAAGCCAATCCAATATAATAAAATGTAAAAAAAAAACAAAAAAAAAAAACACACGACAGGATTGTGGCGATGTTGGAGATTAGTCAAAGGAGCCCTAATCCTCTTCTGCATGGATAATATCATAGTGTTACTGAGTGAAGCCACCAAACCTGTCTGCGTCCCTAATAAAGATAGGTCATGAAAATCACTTTAGAATATTGAAATCATGCCGTAGAGCGATTGCCCGGCAAATTGTTCCAAATGAAGCTCTATATGATGGTTATGACACAAATATACTGGAGTGTTTCCTGTAGAAACTGCAGTGCCACATCTGACAGGCGTAATAGATTGTGTTTGGACGAGAATTAGATTTCAGCGTATAGCCTGAGACCCAGTGGGGCTATCCACTTCACCTATCTAATGTCCCATGTGCTCTCTCCCTCTCTCTCCCCTGCTCTTTCCTTGCCGCCTCAGATGGAGGTAAGTGGGATATGGTGTGTTTTGTTCCCTCAGATCACCTTTCATAGAGTCAGAAGGGGGTAGAGGAATAGACGGCTTCGGGGGTGGGGGTGCAGAACAGATTTCCCCAGAGCTCGACATAATCCATGAAAACATCGTTCCATCTGCTTTACCAAGCTGTTCCCAAACATCTCCAGTTTATGGGCACTTAAAAACCTATAAAAAGACAAAGATCCATCAAATGTGCATTTCTTCGAAGTTTTCGTTTATTTTATTTAACTTTGAGACATCACTGTCATATTGCAAACAGTTCTTTGGCGTGTACAGACCTCATGAACTCGGCTGCTGTTGAAGGAAACTGAGATTTAGCATTTCTGTGATGCCTGGATTGTTTGAATGAGTGCATGAAGAAGAACATCTGGTTCAAGTTTAATGTTGACCCCAAACCTCATTGTTGACATAAAATAAAATGTTATCACCAGAATTATTGCGCTGGTGTTTCCTTTGTGAGTCTGTGCTAGATAAGCATGCTGTAACCAACATCTGGGCATGTGTCGATCCTTTTTTCAGGATCAGAGTGTGTGGACCCCGAGGACCCAACTGTCATCGCTGAGACTGAGCTCCTTGGAGCAGCAGCGTCCATTGAAGCTGCAGCCAAGAAACTAGAGCAGCTGAAACCCAGGGCCAAGCCCAAGGTATAAGTGCCCCTTTCAATCCTTCCCACCCACACAAACCCACGCACAGCTTTTTGCGATTAATCAGCAGGGAGTCCGTGTGGGCCGAAGGTAGGAAAAGGTGAAACTGACTTTGAGGTGGGGTCATCTTTTCCCGTCACTGAGCTGGTATCTTGATATCATTAAAGGAAAGGGAAAAAAAAATGTTCTCTGTGTTGCAAACACTGTGTTGAGTCAGACAGCTGGTCTAGTGAGCTAACATACAACGCTTGGAAAACTTTCTTCAAACGCACTTTTGGACATTATTTTGAGTTGCGTTGCCAGGAGACGCAATTACACTGCTGGGTCTTCAAGCTTATGTTGGAACGAGTTCAAATGTGTGATGAACTGTTGTGACCCTATCTGAAAGAGTGGGCCTCTGTCTTATTGAACTTATTTCCTTTGTTTTATTGCAGTGTTCCTCATTTCTAAACCAAACTCAGGGAGGCTTTTTCAGCCTGTTATTCATCTCCCCCATGCTGTGGTGTTGCCTAAAAAACAAACCAACTTTACCACATAAAATGCAGAGACAATAGGCAAAAAGATGGGAGATGGTAGTGATAGAGCCTTTGGAAAGTGAAATTATTTTTACATTGTTCTGTATGCAATATAGGATTGTGTGTGTGTGTGTGTGTGGTGTGCTACTGCATGATGATTGTGTTGTTTGTTTATCTGTCTCTGGAGACTGAATAGTTGGATCCTAGTGCTCCTCCTTGTGTGTCTGTAGTGCTTTCCCCCTTTTCTAACCCCGTTCCTGTACACAGTGATTGTCACTTCCACCCTCTGAATGATGTGAGGGATTGCATATTTAGGTTACCCCAGTTTTAATAAAGACCATATAATGCTCTGTCTCATAGTATAATTCCACAGCTACAGACCGCGTTTATGAAAAGGGGATTAGAGAGTGAAAGGCTTTTCCTCTTTTAGATGTCAGTGTCTCCCTCTAGTGATGTAACAGGAAGCAACTCCACCAAATAGCATTTAAAGGGGGGGGGATACCACTTAACTTCCAACTATGCCCTACTACCAATCCAGTTTTGCCCACCCCTAATTTGTGTTAAGATGCAGAAGAAAAAATTTAAATCTAAAAAAAAAACCATAAAGGGCTGTGTCTTAAAGCTTTTTTCAAGTTTTGCAGTCCACAAAATAGTCTCTCACACAAAAACAAAGAAGCAATTTATACGATTTTTAATTCAAAAGTAAATTTTATTCTGAGACAGAGTTGATGAAGAGCTACTGATACAGCTTCAGTTAGTCGCCATATAATCTATCAGATTGTGTAGGTGTATCAAACATTTATTTATCTGTCTAGAGCAGCTTGGATTCTCCTTCTCCCTTCTCCTTCATCCCTCCCACCCTGTAAGGAGAGGGTGGTGGTTCTTCTGCTCCCAGCATGCTTCCCTGCCCTGCGCCCCTCCCCTCCTCCCCCCACCCCCCTCTGAGTCGTTGTAGACCTGGAAGCCTTCTCTGCAGGGCTCTGTCTGATATGTTTGATATATTAGGTTGTTATTCAGTCCAACTATATATCAAACATATTCCTACAGTGTCCCGCCCTGTCTCCAGCCACGTGTGCCTTATGTGTTTATGGAGGTCTATCAGATGCTGTTGACTCCTGAGGCAGAGATGGCCAATTGTTAACTGACCCCTGAACTCATATACTCTGATCTTCATACTGGTATTTAGTTCAGGTTTGGGAAACGGGGAATTGATTTAGATGCCACTCTGTTGTCACTGAAAAATTATGCTTTTAGATTGTGTACGGATAAACTTGAACACTTTTCTGGGGATTGGGTTATTTTTTAAGAAACTATGAGGGAGATTCTGTAATCAAAAACTAGCATTTAGTGGTTTTTTTATTTTATTTTGTTTTAAATTATTTTTATAGTCGTAATATGAATAAATTCTACTAATTTTAGGCCAATAAATGAATAGATAAATAAATGATTTCTAGAGAAAAGAATATTTAGACCTTCATGTTTGGAAATTTCAGACAACATAAGCAAATTGTTACAGACAATCTTTTCTATAGTTTTGTCTAAATTGATATTAGGGGTCTCGTGATATACTGGTACTGACGATAACCGTGATATTTTTAAAAAAATGTAATATTGATGTTGTGTTAATAATGCACCTATGATAACATTGTGATGGCACACAGTAGGCCTTGTTGTTCCCGTCTTCTGGTTGACTTTATGTGTGCTTTTGTACAGTTATGGTTACAGACTCTCTCTCCACCTATATTCGTATTTGAGTCTAATTCATTTGCCAGAAAAGAGACGATACACACAATAAGTAAATATGACTGATAGTATTGTTATTCCTTCTCCTCCGCCCAAATTTCTGCAGATTCCACAATAATATCATTATTGTGAATTGTTTTGGCCACGATAATCATGTAGCGCAAATCTGACATGGACAATTGTGGCGGCCCTTGTTGACATGTGGTCTTCCTTCCAGCAGGCAGATGAGACACTGGATTTTGAGGAGCAGATCTTAGAGGCCGCAAAGTCCATCGCTGCAGCAACTAGTGCTCTTGTTAAATCTGCATCGGCAGCTCAGAGAGAACTAGTGGCACAAGGAAAGGTCAGTCTACACATTCACTCAGACACAATACAAAACACAATATCTAATAATGTGATAAAATATTAAACATTTTTTTCCTCAAACCATGCCTCAGGTGGGATCCAATCTCGCCAATGCAGTGGATGACGGCCAGTGGTCACAGGGTCTCATATCAGCGGTAAATTTCAATGAACATTTACTCTTATAAACTTGTTGCGTGTTAACCCCGATTAAAACAATATATCAAACAAAATGAGCACATGTGAATTTGTTGCTTGCTGTAGGCGCGTATGGTAGCAGCAGCCACCAGTAACCTGTGTGAGGCGGCTAACGCCTCAGTTCAGGGTCACGCCAGCGAGGAGAAGCTCATCTCTTCAGCCAAACAGGTCGCGGCTTCCACAGCTCAGCTGCTGGTGGCCTGCAAGGTGAAGGCAGACCAGGATTCTGAAGCCATGAGGAGACTACAGGTAAAACTGACCAACAGTCTCAATGTAACCATGGAAAGCGTGTGTACGTGGATTGTGTGCATGCTAACTTTGAGATTATCTGTTCGAAGGCTGCCGGCAATGCGGTGAAGCGAGCGTCAGACAACCTGGTGAAGGCGGCTCAGAAAGCAGCGTTTGACAAGAATGAAGATGATAGTGTGGTGGTAAAGACCAAATTTGTTGGAGGCATAGCTCAGGTGAGACAAAATCCTGACAGATCTTTATGAGAGACCTGCAACAAAAATGATCCCTATTGTGTGGTTTGCCCTTTTCACTGAACGTTTGCACCTCTCGCTGATGTGCCAAAATGCCACAGTGCTTTTTCTGAAATTGTGATGAGCTGCTGTGGATAAACAGCTCATCAGCTTCATTTCAAAGATGTTTACCAGGTTTACCAGACACCCACAGTTGCAAAACATCACATCTCTTGAAGACTTTTAGCATCTTTCTGTAACAGCAGATAACTTGCTTCCTTTTCATCTTCGGAAAGATTTGACAGTAATTGATGTGAGTGTGTCCCACCCACCCCCAGGGTGCTACAGGAAGCTTTAGTTTTCATCTTGATTGATTAAGTTTCGGTCTCAGTCAGTGGTTCACCCCTTCAGGGCTTTAGCTTGTCACTTTCTCTGTCTGACCAGTGAGACTTGCTGTCTCGTTCATGTCTGATCACTGTTACACAGAGGGAGCTGTGGACAACATTGTTTCTTTAAACACTTTAGACTCTTATTGATCATATATCTGTTTTTTATACAGACCAAACAATAAATCTATTATTAGATTTTTTTCTAGGGAAATTCTTTATTTTTTCAAAATATTATAGCCTAATCTGAACTATTCTTACTGCTGTTATTCATTTTTATAATAATAACAATATGAATATTTCTGTATTGAAATATGTATGCACATATTTCAATATGTATTGTAAATATGACCAACACAGAAAAGGCCTAGTGGGCCTATATTTTGTGCAAAAATCACAGAAAAGACATGAAACATTTTGTTTGTTTTGGCACTACACTCCTGAACACTCATGTTTTTGTCATCTTTTTTAATTCACGTGTGCTCACATCCATATTGGGTGGAAATGGCAGCCCTATTTTTACATTGCCCCCCAAATTCAGAAGCTTTTCACATTTAATCTCGTCTTTTAAGCAACTGAAATGTTTAAATGCTTCTTGCTGTATACTGTAAGACACTCTTTCTCAGTGGATAGTGCTTTTTGGTGCATTTTCTTCCATACTATGAGTTAACAGGCTGTATTGTTTGAGCTGAGCACAGCGCAGGTTTTTCATTTCAAGCTATCCACATGAATGGGATTAGGATGAGTGAAAGGCACATTTTCTGTCATCTGTTCCCATCCTCCTCAGATCATTGCAGCTCAGGAGGAGATGCTGAGGAAGGAGCGGGAGCTGGAGGAAGCCCGCAAGAAGCTGGCTCAGATCCGACAGCAGCAGTACAAGTTCCTGCCCAGCGAGTTGAGGGAGGATGAGGGCTGATTGGCTGAGCGGGGAGGATGTGTGCTGCGCTGATGAGACCCTCTTGTCATGGGATGATGTTGCCGATGGCTGCTTTACTCTCATATAACCGAGGAATATACAGCACTTGAAACAGGCCTGTTTGGTGAGAAAAAACAAGTGCCTGTGCTCTGTAGTGTATTTGTATGTGTGTATGTGTGTGCATCACGTGCGTATGTATTTCTCAGTGAATGACATTGACATTCAATAAGGAGAAAGCTGTTACAGTTGTCAATATAAGCAAGTCGAGACAGTATGATAAAGTTGTATGATAAATGTATCATTGCTTTGTGGGTGTTACTGCATCATGAGCATTACTGACTGTTACAATCATGAAATGAAGATGTTATGAATGCAGAAATCCTCTATAATCTTTGAATGTTCTATACTTGTTGAAGGTTCAGAGCAAATAGGAATGAACTGATGATATCTCTGCAACTGGCAGAACAAACCTAAGGGTCCATAGCTTCTATTCTATATGTAAAAAACCTCTAATGGTTTAGAAAAAGGCAGGAGGGGAGGGGGGGTACCTCATTTCACCACTGGCTTGCATGCACCATAATGTCTATACATATCAATGAAGCTACTAACCAATAGAGTAGTATAGAGTCAAAAGGCACTTGTATTTTACTAATAAAAATGTGAAATTAGGGTTTGCTGTTAATCTAGTAAACCTTTGGAAATCAAGGATTCTGATTAAACTAACTTGTTCAGCGTCACACCAAACAATGAGGGGTTGTGATTGGTTTAAATGACAAGTAAAAAGACAAAACAAAAAAACAGACCACTGGCCAACAATAGCTATAAATATATTTATTCTTGACTAATTTTTCTAAAGAGCAAGTAGTTCTTTAAGATGCGGACAGTTGTAATCTGTGTTCTTTATCAGAATTTGGACTGTATGTGACCAAATATGTCATGCTCCTCTTACATCATGCCACTTCCTGTAACCCCCACATACACAGAGCTGTGTAAGGAATATATGTTTACATTATTTGTCATTGTTTGTTCTCTCTTGTCTTCATGTTTTAATTCCTCTCCCATTACCACTGTCCAGGTTTGGTTTCGGTGCCCGCTGTACTGTACACTTGCACATACACATACACACACAAACACACTCACATACAGTTATTTTCCACTAGTCACTGCCCTGTCCTGGTAAAGGCATTTTCACTTTAGACTGAATGTCTATAGCAATACATTACGCAGAAGATGATAATAATAATGAGAGCCTGTGCTGTTATTGGATGGAAGATTGGATGTGTGCAATGATATTTGGCTTTGGGCTCTTGAATGGAACAAGCAGACATTCTGCACTGAAGTTGCTCATAAACCTACGCACTGAAGAAGGCAATTTAAAGCTTCCATTATATTTAATGTGGGACATTCTCCTAACAAACTAGAAGGAAATGGCTTCAAGCTCTGATTGAGGAAACTGATTCAATGATTTTTTTTTTTTTTTTTTTTCATTTCTTGAGTATATTAATGTATAATATATTGGAAATTTTAAGCAGTTCATCTCAGTCTATCCATGCCAGTGTCTGGTCTGCATTGTGTACTAGTGCCTTACTTGAGTCTGCCCTGTGAGCAGCTGAAGATCAGGCTGGGTGGGAGCCTGAGCCTTTTCCTCTCTGGATCAGAACATTATGCCAGTCTAATGCCCATCGGGGTCTTAATAAACTGACACCTAGTCCTTTGCCATACAGTACAATGCCTTGGCTGGTGACCTACCTGCCTACAACGTTATAATGCTGATACAAAAGGGCATCTGTGGATACCTTAGGATTAAGAGACCATATCGGAAGACTAACACTAGACTGCATTCCATGAGCATGTGGCAATTTGTGTTTGAAGTCAAGAAATTGTTGAAATTCATTACGCCAAGTCCCTCTTAAATGTTGGACCGAATAACTTCCTTGTTTCATTGTCTAATCACTATAAAAAAAAAATAAGTTTTTATCAGTAAATGTCAGAATTACCCTGAAATATATTGTCTAACTGATTTGTCTAAGTATTAACGGAAATAGAAAAAGTTACTAGCTCTGTTATGAATCGGTGTTGTGCTTTCTTTAACAGACTGCATTAGTTTTATGATTTGATGCTGTATGTATAATATTTATCTGGTCACAAAAGTATTTTTTGTATTCACAAAAAAATAAAAGAGTTTCAAACAACCAGTACCATTAGGGTCATTTTTGTTTCATATCAATGCATGTAGTTGTAGTGTAATAGGAAAAAAAAAAAAAAAAAAAAAAAGGTCATGCTACATTCTTTCCAGCAGATGTCAGTATTATCCTTCATAGTTCAGTCAGTGGGGTCAGTGGATGTTTGGAGAAATATGTTCTAGTGGAAGGTTTGGCAAAGTTAGCCAGACCAAATATGGACATAGTGGATGTGTTTTTTTTCCCCTCTTAGTTCACAGACCAGACCTTGAAGTATGCAGAGATTCCCATTTAGATGTTTTGGTCAAGAATGAGATTTCACATTCATTTTTTTTTTTTTGTGAAACCTCGTGTAGACGCTTTGTTGGTCTGCTGGCAATAAGTCAGACTTGAACTTTTTTACTCAGGTGATGCAGTACTTCACCCTGTAGCTGAGCCTGTCTCTGTGTCAGCAGCACACGGGGGCAGAGTGTGTAAAAGATGGTTAAAGGTGGCTAACACAATACAATGAGTCGTCCTAATGAACACCATATTTGGTTGTTTGAGTGATTTGGTCTCATGCAAGGCCAGGCCACACAGTGGAGAGGGGAAACTGAAGCCATGTGTTTAACTGGGAGTGCCCATCTACTACTCACCCTCTCTCTCCCTCCAGTCCCGAGGACCAGGAGGATGTTTGTCTGGTTAACTCTTGGCATTTGTTCAGAGCCATTAAAACCTCAGTAGATTAATGATGAAAAGCAGAGATGTGGTCTGCTTGAGTTCTTCCTCTTATTGTCCTGAACTTCATGATTTCAGAGTAATTAGCAAACCACTCAGTTATAGCTATAATCAAGTTTCCACAAGGGTTGTGCATCTACAGCTTTTTACTGCAAAATTTCCATTTGGCAGAAGAAGCCACATGGTCCGCATGAATCAAAAGAGAAAAATATTTTAGGATTTGGGTTTCTCATGCTCTCTCTGTTCACTTATATCTATTCCTCAAGCTCTTCTTTTTGTTTTTCTATTGGTTGCCATTAAAGACACTTCCTGTCACATGTCAGTTTCCTGCACAGGGATGCAAGTGTGAACTCCAGATGCACCTTTCCAGCCTGATCTTTTACACCGTGGCGTATGTCATTAACCCTCTTCGACCCCACAGACTCATATTTCAAACCAAAACTTTGTCTCAAAGATCTCAGCTTTTCCAAAGATTGCCATTGATGTTGAGCTAGATTACAGGAAAATGTGCACAAAATCATACACAAGACATCTAGAATTTTCTGTCTGAAATAATTGTGCGGACATATAAAAGTGGCTTCATGCTTTGAATATTTCACCAATTTTGTTCAATCACGTGATGCACTAGAAGTCAAGTCTCAACACACAGCACGCATGCTATAGTAATACTTATAATCAACCGTATGCATCTCTAGCATGCTAGGTGTCCTAATTGCAGCACTGGAAGTTGTGCTTTGCAGGGACAGAGGCTTGTGCCATTCCTAATCCCCACAGCTCGGTCGCCATGTAGTTCACGCTTTGGTCCACGCTCAAGTTCTCAAAATTGAAGCCGTGTTAACCCCTAGCTAAACCAAACAACACAGGGTCAACTCTCTGCTTTCATCATTTCAGCACTAATCCACAGTATATTTAAGCCATGGCAGAGCAACAGTAAACGCACTTGGCTAATATCGGTTCCTTGAAATCTATATTTTTTTTATATATATTTTCCAGTTTGCACAACAGGGAAGTTACTGTATACTAAGACATGATACTGTTCAGCACTGGAGTCATGGCTTGTGCTAAGAACAGCCTCAGTGAAACTGAGAGTTGTCACACAGGAAAGCTATGTCGCCAGTTATAGCATGTTATTGATACTCTTTGAAATCTCAGTGTTTATCAGTTTCACAATTTTCCTTTTGGGGAATCCCAGTTTTTGCAGTTACAAGACTAAACAATGGGGAATTCTTTACAGTATATTAAGAAAAAACAGGCATCACACTATAGAAGAGACCTGTTTGTGAATAGATTGACAGTTTGGCTAGTGTATTATTTGTTTGGAGCCCAGTTCTGCAATAAAATTATAAAACAAGTCAAGAAGGGCATAATGGTCTTTTACAGCGCAGAGAGAGGGAGAGAATTCCTGCTCTTAGCTGGTTTTCTCCAGTTCTAGAGAAAAAGGATGAAAGAGGAAGTGAGGTTTGGAAAAAATGCACACCAGGAAAGGCTTTTGGGTTTTGGGCTGGGCCATTTGTCCAAAGCATGCTTCTTAGATTTTTCTTACTCATAGAAGACATTTTAATGTGACAGTGTTTTTTTCAGGTCTTTGTCCTATTAAAACATCTGTGAACAAAAAAGGGTCTTCAATAGTTGTAAACTTTGTGCAACGTGACGGATGTTCTCCTCCTTTGTCCTTTGTGGCTGCTTTCCAAGCACACCTGTTCTCCGTGATTTTTATGAAAGTATTCAGAAGTCCTTTTTTTGTGTTTATGATCCTACTGAGGTTGCGATATGAAGAAGACAGTAAAGCGAAGGCTAAGGAAAGGCTTTAGCTCTGGTTCAGCAGCCATGTCAGGCAAAGAAATTTACAGTTTGTTCAAGCTGATAAAACAGTGGAAGCCAGTATTGTTCATGGGTTGAATAGCTGTAGTTAATGTTTGGCTTCAGTCCATTTTGTCAGGAAGTTTCACAAAGTCCAGACCCAAAGATGGCATGGCAGAGAGAAGTAAGAAGGCACTTAAACTGTTAAGAGAATTACCAAAACCTCCCAGAAATTTCCGTCCAGCTTGTTTTTTCTGATCGTTTATGTTGCTTATCCCGTAGCTGTATTCACTCCTGTCTATAACTGAGGATGATGACTTTTTATCGCTGAGCCACAATAGCTGGTTTGGTGATAAAAAGCCATCATCCTCAGTGTGTGTTTACCCAAGCTCTGTTCAGCAAGACTCTCGGGCACTTTGTGGTCCAGGGATGCTGCTGCATGTTGTGTATGGACTTCATGTAAACACACTCGCACTGTCCTGGCAATTAAATTGCTGAAGAACGGAAACACTGTGGAATAGAAGAATAGAGCAGCGACTTACAGTATGGTGGGTGAGGTCACTGTGTTACAGTGATGCTGCTGTTTACTCATACTCACATACCACCCCTCTGCCTGTTCTGAGAAGCCCTGCTCCCTAACATAAACCTGGGAGACAGCAGCTGATGGATCTAAGAGAGTCTTTTACTCAGGTCTGGAACACTTGACTATTTTAGGTAATCAGCCGGGGTCTTCCAACATGTTGGCTCCGTAACCCATCCAGTGTAGAGCCTCTGATTTAATGAGAATAGTAAACCGAGTCTGTGGAAGATGACTTCTGTGCTTTCATAACTGGTTACTGTGCGGGCTGTGATTTCACAGTTAAAATCCAAGAGGTGACAGTGATATTATTATAGAAACTGTAGTGCTTGATTTTACGATTTCTAATTTCATATCTGATAGATGGGATTCCTCTGAGGTCGACTGGGGAGGATCAGATGAAATGAAACCAGTGCTTTTTATGATGAACAAAGTTGATTCGCATATTCCAGGCTTTAACTGTCCAGCCAAAGATCATAAAACTTGTATTGTGAGTGTCAGGTTGCAGGAAGTGTCCCATATTCTGGTCCTTATGTAATGCAACATCAGGCAGAATTCACCCATTTCCATGAGATAACAGGTGGGTGGTGCTTATAGGTTAACTATGAGAGTTAGTTGCAGTCACCTTCAGAGAGTCTAACCTCTGCTGAGTGACAGTATTTGCTGCCTGTTTCTCCCATGACGGCACAGCAGCTCCTTTAGCCATCAAGTAAGGAGGGCGCAGTATTTCTCAGTCAGCAGTGACAGCAAGGCTATATTGGGACTGAGCTGAGACTTAAAACTTGGGTGCTAATTTTGGACAACCCCACATGTAGCATCGGGAACAGCTATTAAATGATACCGTCTGACTTCAACACTCTCTTCGAAAGTCAGGCTTTCCTCAGTGATTTACTGCGATTTTTCTTGGTTTTTGCTCATTCCTGAAACAGCGTTGAGAGTGAGAGAGAGAGCTGTGGAACAGGGGAGCCGTGTGTCTCAGACTGTGCTGCCGACTGGAACTGATCTGCAGTGTCTCCTGGGATTTAAGCTGTCTAGAGTGAAATCTAACACTCGTCCATCCAAACCCTTCTGTCTTAATAAGGAAACTTTGCTCAACACTCGTTAGATGACAGGCCGCATTTCTGCAGAGGGAAAAAGTCCTTGGCTCCTTTTCTTCTCTCAATCCTGCGGCCTCCCCACCCTGTATTAAAGCTGAATAAACAGTCACTCCACTCAGTGCTCAGCAGATTTTTCTCATCACTGATGCCAATTTTCATGAGAGGATTTGGTGTGGGGACAGCCAAAATGATTAATCAGTATGACTTTCTCCACACTACTATGTCTTACATGAAGGGTTTGTCTCTTACTGTATCCACTCAGCCACTCAGACTCAGCTGACTCCTTTTGATGGATCCTAGGAGCCTGAAGTACTGCTCTAAAGCACATTTTTTAAAGTACTTGTACTTTACTTGAGTATTTACACTTTCTGCTACTTTGTACTCCACTAGATTTCAATGGGAAATACTAAACTTTTTATTCCACTTAATTCGTTTGATAGCTATAGTTACTAGTTATTGTTAGATTAAGATTTTATATGGAAAAGAAAACGAAAGATAAGATTATCATACCAGTGGTTCCCAAACCTTTTAGCCTGCAACCCTTAAAGAACAGTGTCTAGGTGGGGATCCTTGTCATGTTTCAATGTCATTGAATTCTTAGCACGAAATGTTAATGTCCTGTCTAAACTTAATTTAAAAGGAAAGACTGGACAGAAGACCAAAAAAAATACAAATTTATGTAGCAGAACTTTTTTTTTTCTTCCATCTCATTAATTATATCACCACCCCTCAGATTTATCATGTGACCCTTAGGAAGGGGCCCAGCCCCTACGTTGGAAACCACTGGACTAAACTACCCAGTGGTTGTTAAAACT